GCCTCTCTGGGGCCCCTCGTAGGGCCATCTTGGAGCCATCTTAAGGCCTCGGATGGCCATCGGAAGCGAAACTGCGAGAAGGCAGCAATCATTGATTTTCCTGTGGTTTTGAACAGGTGTTGGCTTCTTGGAAGCCTCATTGGGGGTCTCGGAGGCCTCTTGGAGCCGTCTTGCAGCGGTCTTGGGGCCTCTGGGAGCACCTTGGGAGCCATCTTGACGCATCGTGCGCTATCTTGAGCCGTCTTGGAGGTCACCTTTGCCCCTCCGAGGCCCTCCTGGAGCCATCTTGGGCCATCTTAGACGCTCCACCCCCTCGCGACCACCCCCGTCCAGATCCAGGGGAGGGGGTAGGAGAAGGAGTAACCCCATCCCCGAAGGGGAAGACGGGGGTTGGAAGAGGAACCTCCCTACACCACCTACGCCCAGAGGGCTGGTGGGATTGTTGTTTGTGCTAAAGTAGACTTGATGGCCAGCCGAACAACTTCCGACACCATCCGCAATGCTGTCTGTCGCGGGGCGGCGGGGCGAGATCTCCAAAAGCGCGAAAGAAAACCCAAGGCGTTGAATTTTGACAGGTGTCGTCGATATGGAACATAGTTGCACGGCGGAAAGCAAGAACACAGCTGCTGCAGAACATTGCTTGGTTGGCCAGCAATGCTTGGAATGGGTTCTTGGATGCGTTGTTGGACAACTTCGAAGGTCAAACTATCAGCTTGCTCCTGCCCTGGCCATGGCCAACAGATTTCGAGACACTCTTTCTCAGAGAGCGCATCTTCGGAGTTTGTTCCATCCTCCTGCTTGTCGGCTGAATACTTGGAGACATGGCGGCGTACCGGGGCTTGTGCCATGACCTTCCATGCCATGCGCGTCGCTCGCGGGCGTGTCAGCGAGCTCGCGAAGCTTGTCTAAAACGCTTGCGCCCTCTTTTTGAAAGCGATGCATAGAGAGCCGAAGTGCCTCTGGACACAGTGCGCTGTCGACGGCAATGGCAGCGGGCTGTTTGGAGGCTTCTGGAGGCCCCAGGGTTGCGTTGATGAGCTCGCGTCTCCCCCCCCTCAAACGTCATATTGAACCCCAGGAGAGGGGTAAAGGAGGAGCGGAACAGCCAAATACTTCACACGCGTATTCGCACCCGGCAAGCGGGTGTCAGCGGATGCTGTTCCTTGTTCTCGTTGTTGTGTCCCTCGCCTTCGCCGCCCGTGTGGTTTTCCTCCTCCTCCTCCTCCTCCTCCTCCTCCTCCTCCTCCTCCTCCGTTTCCCATTTCTCCCTTGTCCGCTTGCTCCGCCCTCCTTCCTCCCCCTGCCCTCCCCCTCCACCGCCCCCCGGCTGCTCCTCCTGCGGCCCCCAGCCGACGCCCTGCCGGCGCCGGGAGCCTCCGCGGGTGCGCCCGCCTCTGCCTCCGCGTCCCCCCCCCCCCCGTCCGCAGCCAGTGCGGACCGAGACCCAGCAGGGGGGGGGGGACCTCGGCCCGGCGGCCGCCCCGCCCCCCGGGAGGCCCCGCGATGACGTCCGGGGTCCTGCCAGCCCTTGTTGCGGTTGCGGTGTCCGCGTGCAGCGCCGCCGCGGGGACCTCGGATGACCAAGCAGCGGCGCGCACACACACGGCTTGTCGGCGGTCCGCGCGACTTTCTTGGATCGGCGCCTGCCCCCCCCCCCCCCAAGCGGCGTCTCCAGTCCGGCGCCGCCACTGACGCGCTCCGCGCGCCGGGGACAGGGGGTCCAGCGCCGATTCGAAGAGCCCGCCCAGACCTCGGAGAAGTTGTGTTACATGCCGTTTCCCCTCCTTTCCTGCGGCCGCCCCCCCCTTGTCCTCTCCCACTTTCCTGCATTGTGGCACCGCTCGCTAGACGGCGTCCCCGTTTATACTGCTCTTCCGCAAGCCCAGTTGCTCTGCCTGGCCCCCGACGCAAACATTGTGCTTCTATGCCGTGCTCCTTGCTCCTCCAGGATCGCCTTCGTGGGCGCAGCTGGGCGGCTGCTGGGCGGGCAGCCCCGGGGCGGTGGTGCTCAAGGGCCAGGAACAGGCCCACTGTCTGATGTTTTTTTGTCCACCACGTCGTGGCCAATGGCGACCCAAACACGTTGTATATCAGAGTGAGGGGGGCCGAATGGTGATGGTTTTCTCCTCGCCCCCCCCCCCCCTACCCCCCCTTTGCAGAGTAGAACCTGGCTGTTTTGCTTCGATCAGGTGGGAACTCCCCCATAGGAGGCGCTATTGCAAACAGTCGCACGAAGCAGAGGTCCGGAGCCAAACCCTCCCCCCTCCCCCCCCCCCCCCAGTCCAATGTCATTGTCCCTGGGCGCGTGGCTGAAGTGAGGTTTTGCGGTGCGGATTGAATTCTCAGTTCGAATCAGTGTGGTTGATCCCCCCCGCACGGTAACCATTGGTTTTTGGAATGGAAGTGCTTCTCCTGGGACTCGCACCCAGTTTTTTACGAGGGGTAATGAGGTGTCACCAAACTGGGCCCCTGGCCCCCGGTTTACAATAAAAGCGGCTCCCGCGTCATCCTTCCACACGATGTATTCACATATCGCGCTCTCGCGCGGGATTCACTCACCGTTTACCAGGAATCGCGCTATCGCGTGGGGCGTCCTTACAATTTATTTATGCGCCGCGCCCTCGACACTCATGAATCATGCTCTCGCTGTGGATGTCTTGCGATTCATGTTGGAATCGCACGTGTTTTCTGCTCCTAGCCCCCCTCCTGATACTCTCTCTCGTGATCCATCCTGCTCCCTCCCCCTTCCCCATTCCTTCCATCCGTCCTCATTTCCCCGGCCTTAGGGGCAGCACGAAATACACTTAGCAGGTAAGAAAGATATACCCCCTAAGGGGGTACGATCGAAGACGAAGAGGGCGGGTACCGAGGGTCTTGGATACACGTGTTCAATGGCACGCGAGTTGATAAGAGCGAATAGTCTTAGAATGATTGTTGCAGGTGTTAGTGTTGTGGTTGTTGATGTTGTTGGTGTTGGTGTTGGTGTTGGTGTTGGTGCTGCTGTTGTTGGTGGTATGGTTGTTGGTTTTCATGTTGTTGCTGTTGCTGTTGTTGTTGTTGGTGGTGGTGATGGTGTTGTTAGTGCAGCTGTTGATATCGTGGTTGATGTTGTTATTGCTGTTACTGTTGCTGTTGCTGTTGCTGCAGCAGTTGTTTTTGTGTTGCCGTTTTTGTCGGTACTGTTGTTGGTGCTGTTGTTGGTGGTTGTTGGTTGTTGGTTGTTGGTTGTTGTTGTTTGTTCTTTGTTCTTTGTTGTTTGTTGTTTGTTATCGTCGCTCCCCCCGCGACCCACCCGACACCCACCCGCGACCCGGCCCGCGACCCACCCGCGACCCACCCGCGACCCACCCGTGACCCACCCCGCGACCCGCCCGCGCCCCCCCCGCGGCGCAGCCCGCGACCCACCCGCGGCCCACCCGCGACGCGGCCCACCCGCGACGCCCGCGGCGGGCTTCTTCAGAGCCTCGCAGGCTGCCGACGCCCGGGCGCCCCCTCACTCTTATCCGCAACTGCGGGGTGCTGCGTCTTTGTTTCAACGCTGCCGCCCGCAGAACTGGCCGGACCATTAGTCACTATACGCTGTCCCGTGTTTTGTCTTTGCGAAGCCCCGTAGGACAGGGCCTAGATACGTAGCACCCCACAGTTGCGGATAACAGTGAGGGGGCGGCGGGCACGTCGGCAGCCTGCGAGGCTCTGAAGAAGCCCGCCGCAGGCGCAGAATTTTCAATTTATACAACGAGCCCGCCGCAGGCACCGATTTTATTCTTAAAACAAATGTGGGTGGGTCACGGGTTGGGACGCAGGTGGGTCGACGGTGGGTCGACGGTGGGTCGCGGGTGGGTCGCGGGCCGGGTCGCGGGCGGGTCGCGGGTGGGTCGCGGGTGGGTCGCGGGTGGGCCGCGGGTGGGTCGCGGGTGGTTCGCAGGGCGGGTTGCGGGGTGGGTCGCGGGTGGATCGCGGGGTGGGTCGCGGGTGGGACGACGACAACAACAATCAACAAACAACAAACAACAAACGACAAACAACCAACAACAAATAACACACAACAACCAAAAACAACAGCAACAACAACAGACAACAAACAACAAACAATACACAACAACAACAACAACAACAACACCAACAACAACAGCAACAGCAACAACAACAACAGCAACGGCACCAACAGCAACAACAACACCAACAACAACAAACAAACAAACAACCAAAATCATAAACAAACAACAAACAAACAAAACAACAACAACAATAACAACAACAATAACAACAACAACAACAACAACAACAGCAACAACAACAACAACAACAATAATCCGCATCGCGGAATTCCACTTCAGCCACGCACCCAGGGACAGTGAATTACCGTTCGGTTCAGCCCCCCTCACTCTGACCTTAGCGTATACGGTTGGCAACTTTGGGACTGCGTGTCGCTCCGCATGTTCTGGCCCACCACGCCTCGGTGCGACATGCTACCCCCCCCCGTCCCCCCAGCCATGTCCCGAGCCTTTTTTGAGCCTCCCGCCCCGCGGAGCTTAGCGACACGCCATCAGCTCGCAAGGCAAATCGTGTCGCTGGGGCCGCCGCGGGGACACGCTGAGCAAAAGTTCCAGGACGTATACGCGCGGTTCACAGGTGGCCACTCCTTCCTCGGTCGCGCGGGGGCTTCAAGCCTGCTGGCTGGCCTCGGCCAGGGCGGCCCAGCGCCCCCGGAGGCGCCGCCAGCCCTTGCGCCTCGGGAGCAGGACGAGATGGAGCAGGTGCAGGACGACGACGGCGACGACAAGGACGAGAGCGTGCTCGACGACGACGACGACGACGGCGATGACGACGACGGCGACGGCGGCGACGACAACGACGACGACGACGACCCGCCTCTGCTCCGGCGGTCCTGTGCCCCCAGAGGCCGCCGTCCCCTGCGCCGCGGGGCCCCTGCTCGCCGCGGCGGGCGCCGTGGTGGCTGCTGCGGCCGCGGTGGCGTCGTCGCGGCGCTCCGCGGGGCCGCGCGGGCGCGGGCCGCTCCGAGCCGCGCCCTGCGGCGGCGGAGGCGCTCTGGGCACAGCGAAGAGTCACGACCGCGACCCGCCGTGAAGGAAACGGCTCCTCTGAGGCAAACGGGTCCTGAAGTGTTTCGCCGCGTGTTGCCTGCCCGTGGCCCTCCACGGCCCCGGGACTGCGAGAAAGCAGTTCAGGACGAAGAGCTGGTCCTGGAGTCCTAGAGGGATGCCCCCAGGGTCCAGGACCCGTTGCCCACAGGACCCTCTCCTTTTTCGCTGAACAGTTCAATGGGTTTCCCCCCCACACTCCTGTTGTGTTGGGTCCTCGTCGTTGTGAAGCAGCGGCGCCCCGCGTCTCCCTCCTGCCAGATCTGCTCATCCCGCCTCCTCGTCACTCCTCCTCATCCGTGCCTCCCGCACGTACATCTCGGCACACCCCTCAGACGTTTCGTGGCCCCATAGAGGGCTCCACCGAAGGCCCCAGTGGCTGCGTTCGCATGGCGGCGCCGCGCCCGATTCGGCACAACCCTGACACGTTCCGTGGCCCCATGGGGAGCTCCAGCGAAGGCCGCGCTGCATGGCGGCTCCGCGCCCGATTCGACACACCCCTCACATGTTTCGTGGCCCCATAAAGAGAGCTCCACCGAAGGCCACAGTGGCTGCGTTTGCATGGCGGCCCGCGCCCAATTCGGCACACCCCTCAGACGCTTCGTGGCCCCATAAGGGCTCCAACGGAGGCCTCAGCGGCTTCGTTCGCATGGCGGCCCCGCGTCCGATTCGGCACACTCATCTCATTCTTTCGTGGCCCCAGAGAGTGCTACACCGAGGGCTTCAGAGGCAGTGTCCGCTGCGGTCGTCGCGCCGATTGCGGCGCACCCGTCACGCGTTGCGTGTCCCCACAGGGAGCCCCACCGAGAGCCCCGGCGCCTGCGTTCGCATGACAGCTCCGCGCCCGTTTCGGCACACTCCTCAAACGTTTCCCGGCCCCATAACCTACTCCACCGAAGAGAATACTCTCAACCTCGTTGCTTGCAGCTGCATGTGGTTGAGATCTTCGCCAGGATAGTTCCCAACCGTCCTGTGGTGTCGGGCTCTAGGTAAGAAGCAGCAGCGGCCCGCGTCTCCCTCCTGCTCGCCCTCCTCTTCCGTCTTCCTCGTCCCTCCTCCCAAGCGGGTCCTGGTTGCTCCTACGATTACTGGCATGCGCAAGACATCCCCCAGGGTGTGTCCTCGATGTGGTTCTGGTGGCTCGCTGTCCCCGAAGGCGCGGGCTTCGGGTCGTCGCGGGTGCCGCTGCTTGACGGGCCCTGCGTGCTGAGGGCGCGCTCGGCGGTGGCGCGCCGTGCTATGAAGTTCGAGCGGTTCTCTTCGAAGACGATCAAGGCGGTGATGATGGCGCAGGCCGAGTCGCGCCGGCTGGGGCAGGACGAGGTCTCATAGCAGGGCAAGATACCCATACCGCTACCCCTCGGTGGTCGCGACCGCTAGATTCTCTTTGAAATCCGGGTCAGGACCTCCGCGGGGAACGGCCCGCGGAGGAGCGGTGAGGGCTCCCTGAGATCCGACGCTGGAAAGCAAAATGCAGCATCGCAACAAAGCACGCCTGGAGCCCCGAATTCGCATCTTTCGGCGTCGTGGTTCGAGCCGGCTCGATCTGTGAGGGTCCCGGGGCCCGACTTTGTGCGAAGACGCCCGGTGGGAAAAAACTGCAACGCCAGGATCTCAGGGGACGCGCTTGCCCCCCAAGGTCGGCACCGAGATGCTGGTGGTGGGCGTGGCCTCGGAGGGCACCGACGCGGGGAGCCGCGCGCTGGGGAGCCTGGGCGTGGGGCTCCCCGAGGCCCGCGCGAGGCTGGAGGAGTTCCTGGGCCTCAGCAGCGGGGGCAATGCGCTCGAGATCCCGTTCTCCACCGCCGCCAAGAAGGTGCTCGAGGACTCGATCGCGTGCGCCCGCTCGCAGGGCAAGGCTCAGGAGGGAACAAAAGCACACAGACACAATGAATCGTGGATTCCCCAGAAGATCTGGGAAACTATGGGAAGAGTGGGGGGAGACAAAATCCCAGAAAAGATGGGAAAGGTAGGGGGATCCTGTTACTTGTGTGTATGTATTTGTGTGTCCTTGGGCCCCTTTTGTGTGTCCTTGGGCCCCCTTGAAAGGCGTCCGTGGGCACCGCGCACCTGCTGCGGGCCATCCTGGACCAGGGGGAGCCCGACGCCGGGGCGAGGTTCCTGGGCTTCCTGCTGGGCTGCGACGCAGCCGCCACTCGCGAGAGGCTGACGCGCGCCCTGGAGCGGGAGGAGAGCAGGGGCGACGTGACGGGGGACAGTCATCCTAGACCCCGTGGAGTCATGACAAAAATCACGACGGCAGGTGTTTCGCTGTTTTCGGCCTCTGGGGGCCCTCACCGGGCCTCGGGATCGTGAAAAAACGACTCAGGATGAATGACCGGTCCTGGGGAATGGGTCGAGACCTCTGGGGGTCGACGTCGGAGGTCTGGGATGGAGGGGGGGAGATCGACCCCCCCTCGCCCATGGATCGCGACAGGAGCCGGGTGGCCCACCGGCCCACCCCGACCACGACCGTGCGGGCGGGCGCTCGGGGGCTGCACGTGAGAGGGAGCCTTCGCTCGAGTGACCTGTGGTGTCGAGCGGCCTCCGGGGGGCGCACAGGGGCCGAGCCCAACAACGCAGGCCGTGACTGTCGCATCGCACGCAGCGGGCGGCAATCCGTGCACCAGAGGCCACTTTTGCTCAGGGCCATTGTGTGTAGCCGACGTCGGGGCCCTACCTAGGAGAACGGACGATGGCATAAACGTAAAAACTCGGAGGTCCGCGCGGATTGCTCGGATCGGCGCTGGACCCCCCTGGCGGTGCCTCCGGCGCCGCCCCTGGCGCGCTCCGCGCGCCAGGGAGGGGGGTCCAGCGCGGATCCGAGAAATCCGCGCGGACCACTTTTTTTATGTTTGTGTCATTGTTCGTTCCCCTACTGTCGCCGATCCCTCGGCGATGCATCGCCGATTCCAGGTGGATGCCTCCCCCCTCTTCCTCCTCCTCCTCCTCCTCCTCGTCCTCCTTCTCCTCCTCCTCCTCCGTAGCCGTTTTGGCTCAAGATGCATGTACCCCCAGGGAGACAAACGGATACCGCTAGTCCACGGCAGTGCCAGAGTGCTTGCGCGCGACGTTCCTCGCTTCCTGCGCTTCTCGACCCTCCCATATGTCTGATGGCAGCCGCAGTGCCTCGCCTGCTCGCTCGATTCCCCGCAGCGACAACAGTGCCGTGGATGCAGATCGGCGCGGCCGCTTTCGCCCCGAGGCTGGGGAGCCTCTACGCTCGGGAAGATCTGAGCGGTCCAGCGGCTGGGATGTTCGTCCTGATGCTGATCGTCGTCCGCCGGCTCCTGCTTCACATCGTGGGATGGACCCTGGCGCCCCTGCCCCCTGGTCGGCGGCGCCTGCGAGGGCCAGTCTCGCTCCGACAGCCAGCAAACCAGCATCCTGCAGGCGGACGCCATCCTCCCCACCCTCCCAGATGAAGATGAAGGTGCCCCTCCCGATCCGTGGGCAATAGCTGCGGTTCGGCTTCTTCCTCGTGGCGATTGCCCTGCTCGCGCTGCACACCCTGCGCGTCCTGAACCACAGGTATACCACATTGACGCCGACGGTGACGTGGGCGACTCTCCCGACTTCAACATCCACTACTATCGTGCCGACATCGAGGCCCGCTTCGCCTCCTTGCGTGGGAGTTTCGATGACATGGCCAAAGCTGCTGTCACTTCTTCCCTCCAGGCCGCCAGTGACCCGATCCTGACGACCTTAGACGTGCTGCGCCAGCAGGTTTTAGGGTATGTCCAGGTTGTCGACCAGAAAATCATGTCCGCGATTCGCCCCCAGCTCGACCAGCTCGACAGAAGATTCCAGATGCAGCAGGGCGCGCTCACCAAGCGCGCTTCTGAGTCGGAGCACGCCCTGGGTGAACACGAGAAGCAGATCATCGCTATGCAGAAGACGTCTCGGACACCCGCAAGCAGTGGAGTTCGACAAAGCGGCCCCTTCGAAGACCTTCATTCCCCCTGGCTTCGATCGTGAGACTGATCCGTCCCAAGTTATTGTGGTGGCTACGAAGTTGGTTGGGCTCCAAGGTGTGCGCGAAGAGATTGGCGCCTTCTTCGCTGAGTTCAACTTCCGCGAGGGTGACTTCGACATCCGCGCTCTTCCCTCCCTCCCCGCCAAGACGTTCTCGATCACGGCCAAGAGTGCTGTTGGTGCGGTCTCCCGCAAAGTTCAGCGTGTCCTTGGATGTCTACGGAAGGACGGCCAGTGGAGGGAGTTTCGGCGCGCCTTCCAGGGGGCCGACCCAGCCCGTCTTCACCCCGGCCCCGACAAGAGTCCCAAGCAGGTCCGTACTGAGATATTCCATCGCAAGATCCGTGGCGTCTTCGGCGGCGCCTTCCACCGGAAGCGGCGGTTCTTCCACCGGAAGCGGCGGTTCGTCGACCGCGAGAGCGGCATCCTCAAGGTTGATTTCATTGACGTCCTGACGGTCGAGGCCCACCCTGGTGACGAGCCTTTCCGATGTGGGCGTCGCGGCGCTTGGCCTGGAGCGTCGTCCTCTCGCTGAAGCCATCTCCTCTCTGTCCACTCCCGCGGCCCAGGTGCAGTGGTGTCTCTGACGGCTTCGCGGGCCTCTTCTCGCTGCCTGCGCCCGCAGGCGGCGCGATTTTGCGCTTCGCTATCTGGAACGCTAGGGCTCCATTGCGATACGGCGGGGCCAAGGGCCAGAAGAAGTTGGGTTACCTCAGACGCTGTGTGACTGCTAGCAGTATCGTGGGACTGCAAAATGCGCGCGGCGACCGTTCTCAATTGAGCGACTTTGAGCACAAGGTCCGCTCTGGCGTGATTGTCCATTGCAGCTTATGTGATCGCGGGGGTCGAGGAGCTAGTGGAGTTGCCATCCTTCAGCCGCCTCTTGCCTCGGATAGAGCCTCCAGTTCGGCGATGGAGTTCATCCCCGGACGCGCGCTGCGCGTGGGCGCGGTGCTCGGCGAGGTGCAGATGGTGGTTCTCAGTAGTCGTGAGTACGGCCTGTCCAGGATGGAGGTCAGCACAGTCTGTGAGCAGATCAGGTGTGCCAACCGCCAGGCTCGCCTCACTCCCCTCTCTCTTTCTTCGTCGCTGTCTTCGGCGATTTCAACTTCAGCATCGACGAGGCCCTGATCTTTCACAGACCCGAATCCTCCAAGGTCCAGGCCGCTCACGGTCACACTGTGCATGCCCCGACCTGGGCCAGGACGCTCGGTGACCTGATGGAGGTCTGCTCGGACTCTCCCACTCACTTTTGTTGTCGACACATCAACTCTGCGCGCTCTATCGATCGCTGCTTCTGCGTAGCCGCGGGCGGGGCGACGTGCCGGCTGACGGTCGCGGCCGGGGCGACTCGCCAGAGAATTTGAGCTCCAAGCTGGTGTCTGACCACGCCGCTGTCCACGCGGCACACGTCAAGTTGCTGCGCGGCCGCTGGCGGAGCGCCCCATCCCGAGGCACATTTCCCAGAGCCCTGTCTTCAAGCAGCGCCTCCTGCGCATGCTGCACGATGGCAGTGGAGATATTCTCACGTGGAGCCCGGTGGAGCAATCCTGTTTCGAGCGAACACTAAATTTGTGTTGAAGGAGGCTGCGAGAGAGACCCGCGACGTTCTCTTCCCCCAGGCCTCAGGCGAGGCGGGGGCTCTCCAGCTTAATGCCCGCGGCATTTTGAGAGCGGTCTGGCGACGCGATGTTGGACTCGTTCGGCGGCTTCTCGACGCCTCAGTGCACGGACAGGACGCTCCACTGGTCGAAGGTCGACCTGTGGCGCTACGACTTGCGCCCACCTTTCAGTAGTGGACTGAAGGAGTGCACAAAGCTGTCCTGGAAAAAGAGATCGCTGCGCGGCTGCCCCTTCACCCTCTGCGTCTGCCCCCAGAAGTCCATGCTTATCTTCGCTATTGCGTGCTACGGAAAGGAAGGCTTCGATTTGGGCCCTGTTCTTGAAGCTCCCGGCGCTCGCGTCTGTTGCTGGCCCAGACGGGCCCGTCTCATCCCCTGAAGGCAGCCATCGTGCAGTGCGTGACTACTGGAAACCTGTCTTCTCGGTGAAGCCCCCTGCTGAGTCGGCGACGCAAGTGTGCCTCGATCGCTTTCTGAAATCAGCGCAGGATCTCCAGGTTGCCCTCCCGCTGGCCCCGCTTTTTTTAAGAAAGCCGCCCATCGAGCGAAGCACTCGACCCCTGGTGTGGACGGGTTGCCGCGCGCTGCATGGGCTGCGGTTGACGTCGGCCCCCACTTGCTTGCCTTTAATGTTCAGCTGGCTATGTCAGGGGCAGGCTCTATTCGACGCTGCCGGCGTCGCCCTGCAAGTCTTTCCCCCCAGGGGCTCCGGGGCTTCCGACACAGCGGGCGGGGCCGGTGAGAGGTCTCCTGATCGGGTTCGGGCACTGGGCCTCCGCAGTGCCGACATGGAGATTTTAAGCCCGCTTGTGCATATCACCCTGAAGCCAGTTGTGGACTTTGTGGTCCCGCTTTCGCAGCGCGGATTTATTTCTGGACGCAACTTTGGATGCAATGTTCTTGAGCTCGACGCCCTCGGCCGCGCAGCCTCTCAGCACCCTCTCGCTCGAAACGAGCCCCCGATCCTGCGTGGCTTTGACTGCGGGCAGGCCTTCCCCAGCCTCTTCCAGCCCTTCCTCATGCAGCCCCTGGGCGCCCTGGGGCTTTGCGAGGCGCCCCCCTCCTTCATCGGATTCCTGTGCGAGGCCGCCCGAGGGGCCATTGCGGACGAGGGCACTCCGGTGGAAGTTGTCTGGCTGAGATCTGGGACCATCCAAGGATGCGGCCTTTCAGGCCCCCCTCTATGCCGCGGCCTCTGCCCCGATGCTCCAGGGCCGGGAGACGAACTTAGAGGGCGATGGTAAAAGGCTTGGCCGAGCGTGCGCTGACGATTTAGGCGTGGTCTTGTTCGAGTTTGCCCTTAATATGACCGTCTTTGAGTTTGTCCAGACTATGGAGCTGATCGCGGGGCTCTCTATTAAGATTAGTAAGTGCATTGCGGCACCCCTCGTGGGCTCGATCCCTGAGGCTCTCCGAGGCGAAGTGCGGGATCTCCTGGGCCGCTATTCAGGGCTGGTTTCGTTATTGAAGGATGTATGCTGCATTTTGGCATCTGGCTCTGACCCACCGCCACTGCTGAACGGTGCTGGCGTGACCCAATCGCCAAAGTTCGCACGGGAAGTCGCATGCCCAGCCGCGCCGGTGCGGCAAGAAGCGTCAATTCCACGCTGTGCCGTACCCGAGTTCATTATGTCCTTTCTTATGTCTCCCATTTTGTTCCGACGCCGCCCTCTTCCCTCGCGTTCGAGAGAGGCGTCATCTCGCAGGTCCTGACGCGCCCGCTCGGCATGATCGGCAATGAAGCTGCGCCCGAACTTCAGTGTTTTTGTTTTTTTTGGGGGGGCGCAGCTGCCCTCGTGGGCCGCTGATGTTGTTGCTGCGCTACTCTGAGCTGCTGCCATCACCTTCCGCGGCTTCCCGATCTACCTCGGCCCGACGAAGGCCGAGGCGATCGGCTCGCGACAGGAAGTTGCCGACGGACATGGCGATGGCATTCCTCTCTCTGCCACCGTGCGGACGCGCATCAACCCCAGGTTATGGAAGGCACCTGCGTTCGTTGAGAACCTCGACGGCGTGCTCTCTCTCTCTCTCTCTCTCTCTCTCTCTCTCTCTCTCTCTCTCTCTCTCTCTCCTCTGACGGCTGGATGGTTGCCGCTCGCTCTTCCCTCATAGATGAGCTGTCCTGCATTGGCCGCCGCCCTCGACACCAACGTGCTGCGGCCGCCACTGCGCCAGGCCTTCTCGCAGAGCAGCGCGCGCTGAGCCGTGCCATTGCACGTTGCCTGAACAGTGTTCTGTGCGACTACGAACCCTTCCGGAACCGCGTCCACTGGGGGAAGATTCGAGAGCTCATGCGCCCCCCCCACGCAGCTGGGCCCCGGCAGCGATCGGGACTTGGACCAACGGCTGGCTGACCTCAGCCCGCATGCCATGCCCCGACGACCTGCTGCGTTGCCGCCTCGGTCGCAGCTGGCCTGGTCGGCGGGCGCGCTACCTTGTCCGCCCGTGGCTCCGCCACGCCGCGGGTCGAGCGCTTGGTCGGGATCTCCCTCCCTCGCTCCCTGCGCGTTTGGGCCTCGCGGAGCCCAAGCCCGAACGGTTTGAGGAGATGCTCGTGGCTTACCAGATCTTCCTCATGTCCAGGGAGCGTGGAGGCACCGTTGCCCCCAGAAGCCTTCCCTCGCTTGCGGTGGCTGCTGCGCGATCTCTGCGTCTCTCGCGCCCTGCGCAGTCGCTGGAGACATGGGGCCCACCGCCGAGGGTGCTTATTGGCTCCACTTGCATCCACAGTATTTCATCTACGCCCGACCCCAGCGCGACTTCCGACTCCAGCTCCTCGGACCCCGAGAGTGGTGCACTGCGCGACGGCCTGCCCGTTCTTGTTCCTGCTGAGGGCCCTGGGGTAGGTGAGGCTATGGGTTCGTCTTCGTAAGTTTGCTTGTCAGCTCCTATTGCGTGCTCTCCGTCGATGTCGTTGCCGTGTGGACCAGGAGTGGGGGGCGCCCTCAGATTGCCTCATCCAGAACCTTGCAGGTGTCAGAGGCTTGCTCCAACCCCTGCCCAGTCTTGCTCGGTTAGAACGCAAGTCCCGTCGTTGGTGTCGAGCCTCGCTGTCGCTACCAGCTGGAGGCAAGTCGCTTTCCTCGTCAGGCGCTTGGACGGGCGTTCGATCGCAAGTCCCGTTGTCATGTTCGGGCTCACCGTCCCCTTCTCCTGTTGGGTTCGTCGTGGTGTCTCCCACGGCAGGCGTTGGAATGCAAGTCCCGTTGTCGTGTTCGGGCTCGCCGTCGCCGCTTTGCGGATGCCTCGATGGCGGCCTGCTGGCCCCTGGCGGCGTTAGATCACAAGTCCCGTTGTCGAGTTCGGGCAATACGTCGCCACGCACTGAAGTTTCTGGCGCCAGCCCGTCGACGGCGATGGCAGCGCGCGGGCCTCTTGCCTTGACGTCATCAAGTGCTGCGGGTGCTCCGATTTCTACGCCTTTGTCGGCCTCGACCAGTGATGCAATGGCGAGGGCGACTCCCTGGGAGTAGTTTCTGGCGCCAGCCCGTCGACCTCGGTGGCGACGTGCGGGCCGATTGCTTTGTCGACGCCGACTGCTTCGCGCTGACCGATTGCTCCGTCGGCGGCGACGCCGCCCAGTGGATCAGTGGCGTGGCCGACTCCTTGGGCAATAGGTCCATTTGATTGGTCGACTCCTGTTTCCACGAGTCGGGCCACTGGTTTGTCGGCATCGGTTACGTGCTCGACCCCAGCCTCCGCGTGTGGTCCAATTACTCCAGCGGCTTCTACCTCACCCAGCGGGCCAGTGACGTGGAGGACCCCCTGGGGAGTAGGGCCCCTTCCCGTCCCCCCCCTTCCGCCCTCGCCTCTCCCTTTTTTCCCGCCCAATCAGATCCTGTCAGTCCCACCCCACACGTCGCTATCGCGATTGCTCTTCTCCGCTTGTCCAGTGTTTGATATGTATGGCTCTGCGCATGCCCAGACCCTCCACCCCCCGTCCAGGATTCACGCGCAGGGCCCGTCCCTTTCTGTAGGCCGCCAGTCGAGCGGCCCTGATCTCGCTGGCCAGACCATTGCTGATGCCACGGTCCTTTCCCCTCTTTGTCCTTTCCCTTCGAGGCCTGCTTATGCCGATGCGTGCTCCCCGCCTGCTCCTCCCCTTTGCTGTTCCCCGATCGCTGCCCGCTCCCCCGCGCCGTCTCTCGGCCACCTGAATGAAACAGCGGCTCCCGTGCCGCCCATCGTGCTCGGCGGCTTCGCCGCCCTGGCGCTGGAACAGGCAAAGCGAGCCCTCCCACCGCGCCTGGGGTAGAGTGGTCGGAGTGACCCCGGCCCCTACGCTCGTCTCCTCCTCCTCCTCCTCCTCCTCCTCCTCCTCCTCCTCCTCCTCCTCCTCCTCCTCCTCCTCTTCTCCTCCTCCTCCTCCTCCTCCCTCCTCCTCCTCTCTCCTCCTCCCTCCTCCCTCCTCCTCCTCCTCCTCCTCCTCCTCCTCCTCCTCCTCCTCCTCCTCCTCCTCTCCTCCTCCTCCTCCTCCTCCTCCTCCCCAGGGGCCCGACTCCCCCCGTGACAGCAGCCCCCGCTTCTCCTCTAGGAGAGCGGTGGCAGGCCCGGCGCCAGCGGCGGCGGTGTCACGCTGGGTATCCGCGCCGAGGGCCCCGCCCCGGAGGCCATCGTTCAGGCGCGGAGGGAAGGGAGGAGGACGGTGGCGGACGGTGGAGGAGGAGGAGGACGAGGAGGAGGAGGAGGAGGAGGAGGAGGAGGAGGAGGAGGAGAGGAGGAACAGGAAGAGGAGGAAAGGGGGGGAAGGAGGAGGAGGAGGAGGAGGAGGAGGAGGAGGAGGAGGAGGAGAAGGAGGACGAGGAGGATCAAAGGGGAGGAGGACGGGGGGATGGACGAGGAGGGGATGGAGGAGGAGGAGGAGGAGGAGGAGGAGGACGAGGACAAGGAGGAGGAGAGGGGGGGGGAGGGAGGAGGAGGAGGAGGAAAAGGAGGATGGGGAGGAAGAGGAGGAGGAGGAAGTGCAGGATGAGGAGGTGCATGAGGAGGAGAGGAGGAGGGGGGGGGAGGAGGAGGAGGAGGGGAGGAGGAGGAGGAGGAGGAGGAGGAGGATGAGGAGGAGGAGGAGGAGGAGGAGGAGGAAGAGGAGTAGGAGGAGGAGGCGGAGGAGGAGGAGGCGGAGGAGGAGGAGGTGGAGGAAGCGGAAGAGGAAGAAGACGAGACATCTAAATCATGAGAAGAAGAAGAAACTAAGAAGAAGAAGAAGAATAACAATAAGAAAAGGATGAGGAGAAAAAGGAGGAGGAGGAGGAGGGGGAGGAGGAATAGGAGGAGGAGGAGGAAAAGGAGGAGGAGGAAGAAGAGGAGAAGAAGAACAGGTAAAGGTAAAGGCCCGTGGGGGTCCAGGTCTCCGAGTGCCGCTGCTGGGCCTCTGCGCCTAGAAAAGGACCCCTAGGGTAGCATATGGATGCAAGCCCCTGGACTCTGATGGCCAGGGGGCTGCCTGGGGCGTCGAGGCACCCTCTCGTTTGAGGGTGGCCCTCGTGCCCCTTTAGCGGGAGACCCATCTCTCGGGTGCATGGAAGAGCGAAACAAAAACAGGCAGGGGGCGCTGCCCCCGCTTCTCGGGGGCGGGGCGACCCCTGCTGAAGACTTCGACTCCCCCCCACTCCCCACAACTGCTCCCACTACCCCCCCCCCACCTCCTCGTCCTGCAGGCGGGTGCTGGCAGGCAGCGGCTTCATGCAGCGGCTTAGTTCGTGCTGTTCGAGCCGCGGCCGATGCCCCACCCCGCTGCGCGTGCGGCGCTCTCGTCGTACGTCCTGATGTCGCTGGTGGGCTGCTGCATCGTGTGGAGCTGCGGCGGCTGAGCCGTCTCCTGCGACATGATCTTCACGCCGCAGGTCGTCCACCCTGTCACTGCTGGGTTCGGGTACTTGCACGGCAGGCGCTGAGGCTGGATGCCGATGGGCTCGGCCGCCGCGCTGCCCTCTGCGCCCTGCATGGGCACTCCCTCTCTCACAACCTCGTCGTAGCCCCACCCGTTGACGCTGTGCGCCCACTTGCTGTAGAGGCCCTCCAGCTCGTCGCACTGGTAACGCGTGTAGCCGAGCTCCCACGGATACGGCCCTTTGTACAGGCGGCTTCCTTCCTTGAGGTAGGCGCCGGCCACCCTGCACTTCTCGATCGCCGCAGTCAGCTCCTCGACTTGCATCTTGAGCAGCACCGTGGTGTGCGCTCGCTCCACCTCCTCGTGGCAGTTGAAGCTCTTCGAGGCGCTGATGCGCGCAAGCGTCATGGCGACGCGGTCCCGCTGCGCGTAGAGCTGGTACTGCATCGTGTCCGAGTGCTGGACCAGCTGCGGGAGCAGCTCGCCTGTACTCTGAAAGGTACAGTGAGCGGTCGAAAGGCGGTTGGCCATCGTCCCTAAGACTGCGTCCGTCACTCCGCCGCCCCTGTCTGCCGCCTTCTTCTGCACCACGACATCCTCCTCCTGCTGTGGCGCGCCGTCGCCGCCACGCGGCTCCTGTGGCGCCGCTGCAGCCGCTGCCGCCCGCTCCTCTGGCCCGCGGCGGGATGGCATTCGTTCCATCGCCTTGCCTTTGGGTGCGGTGGGTACTGTCGCTGCTGCACGTGGAAAGAGGCTTCTTGGAGCTCGCTGGTTGCCGAAAAGGGCTGCGGAAAGGAGGCGTGGGTTGATGGACGTCGGACCTGGCCGTTGGACTGGCCTTCCCCCTAGTTGCCCCCCGTGGGGCAGAGCAGGAGTCGGAAATAGTCCCGTCGCACGCCGTCGTCGTTGGATCCCTGAGAAGCCTCCGAGACGTGCAGGGGTCGTGACAGCTGGCCTGTTGAGGGCCTCTCTGGTAACCTTGTGTGGTTCCCATGAAGATCTTTCCGTCGTAGTCGCGATCAGCTCGATCTGTTTGTGCCTCGTAGTGCCTCTCGGGGTGTTTCCACGGCTCTTGTCTAAGTTGACCTCGTCGGGGACTGGGAGGTCCTGCAGGAGGTCGGCGTGGGTGGCATCGGTAAACAGCTCTGGCTGGGGGGGGGCCTGTGGGGCCCAGTGGGTGCCTGTAGTGGGAGTCGCTACTGCTGCCTGTGGGAGGTGAGGAGAGCCGAGGTGGGAGCACAGGCGCACAACGGTACTGCTGCTGGAAATTAGTAACCCTGAATGGTATGTCGTCACCAGCTCCCCCGCGTAGTCAGCACACTGCCTCGGCTGGTGGGGTTGGTGAGCGGCTGCGATCTGACGCATGGGCCTACTGCCTGCGGGGGACGAGGAGGAGTGTAAGAAAAAAGAGGAGTTTCGTGATGGAGCGTCGACGGTCCGTCGATAGTAACTGGCGTACTGCAGTAAGGGACCAGACTGCCTGTTACCTTTCCATCGTTTGATAATAGCTCCTGGAGCGTAAGTCGCGGTAGTATTTAGCAAGCTGGAGTAGCATGGCCATGTATCCTCCATGGGCCTGGGCCTACCCGCGCAACTTAGCATAGCGCTCCAAGTCGCTACTGGAATCTTTGACGAGTTTTTCCTCTCGAGACTTTGGTGGGCCAGCGGGGAGCCAGGAGGAGGTGAGCCTTGACCCGCTGGCCGCGTGGGTGCTTGCGGGGCCTGAGGCGCTGCTGTGGCGCCTGCGGCTGCTGGGCTGGGAGGCGGGTGGCTGGCAACCGCCGGTTGAGCTGGGCCTCCACGACCCTCTCGAGGCCGCCCTTCGGGCCCGCGGATTGGCTCCTCTCGGCGCCAAGTCTGCCAGCGCCAGCGCCACGCCCTTCTTGAACAGCTCTCCCTTGAACCCCATTATCTTGGTGATCTGGCCCTCCTCGATTTGCTGCTGGTGGAGCGCCGCGCGGAACGAGGGAGCCGCGTTGATCGAGTAGAGGAGCTTCGCCCTGCGAGGGCCCGTTTCCATCGCCTCGTCGGGGGGCTTGTAGCACTCCTGTATCTTGCTCTGCAGGAGCACATCCGTGATTGACGTCACCCCGTACGGCTGCTCCAGCTGCTCGAGAAGCTCCGTGGAGCTCTGGAGGTCCCACTGCATCGACGGGTCGAGGTCCTGTTTGTTCTTGAGCGCCTTCGCGAGCTCCTCGGCTAGCGTCGCCGCCACGTGGCCGAGAGGTGGGCCGAGCCCGTGGCACTTGCCCGCCGCCTTCACCTTCCTGCCGTACTCGCGGCCTGTCTCGATCGGCGCCTGGGCCCAGTCCTCGCAGAGGGGCACGAGCCAGGACTCGCCTGTGGCGTGGCTCAGCGTGCGGAGGTCCGCGGCGCTCTGGAGCGTGAGGCCTCTGCAGGGCTCGAATGCTGTCGCGTCGGTCGCCTTGGACTCCGTGGCCGCCTCGTCCTCCGCCGCCCCTGTGGCCCTGCCCTCCGCCTCCCGCTGCCGCCCCCGGGCTGCTGGGCGCCTGCGCCCCTGGCCTCCTCCTCCTCCTCCTCCTCCTCCTCCTCCTACGCTTTGGCATCGCGTCGCTGCCGAGTGCTGTGCGCCGCTGCCCCCTTCGCCTCGCGAGCCTGATGAGGGCCCAGCACGGCGTGTCCGAAGGTGTGCGTGGAAAGCCTCGGGATCTCGAGCCTGGCGGGTGCAGATGGGGCAAACTGGCGTACGTGCGCGGCTCCTGGACGGGGTCGTCCCACTCCGAACGGTCCCGGTGACAGATGCCGTGGTAGTGGACCGATCTAGTAGCATGGTCGACCGCGGTCTTGCGGTCCACGAAAGTACTCTTGCACCAGGGGCACTGGTTGGTAGTTACGACTGATGCCACCACGGGTCGTATATTGTGGGCTTCCCGTCGGTGGTCAGCTAGGGCCGCGTAAGTAGGGAAGCGTTGTCCGCAAGTAGTCTCGACCCCGTCTGCATCTGTCGACCACGTGGTCACACCAGTAGGGTCTCATTAAAGCCTCCTCCTGCCCCTCCTCCAGCTCCTCCTCCTCCTGCCTGGTCATAACATCACAGTTTCGTTCGTAGCTATACAGGGCCATGGGGTCTGTTTGTAACCAGCGTGTTTGTTCCACAATACCCTGCTCGAAAATAGCAATGTCCGAATCCCTGCACTCGTACCATCCCATCCCCTCGTCCACCCGTGCTAGTGTCTGCATATCTATCGCAAACTGTTTTGCCCAGGGGGGTAGAGTCGGGACCGATCCAATTCATAGCCGTTAGTCTCCGAATGCCTCTAGAGACGTCGAGCCGAGACGATCCGAATACTGCTGCTAGTACTGCGCCATGCTCTTTGGGGTAGCAGGCCCAGCTTTGGTACCATCTCGATCGTCGTACCATGGGCGACGCACTCGTACGTTCCATACGCCAGTTCCGAAATACCTGTCGGAGGTTGTTGCATCGTGTAGTTCCGCCCTCCCGTACCCAAGACATCGCCCCGCATGCAAGTGTGCGTATGTACTTGCCCAATATACTCTCAATGGCGTTCGTATGGGCCTTGGCGATAGCAAAGGCAGTAAGGCCGCTGAGTGCTGCACCGATGACGAAAGTCATACACATCAACCGTTTGATGTGTCTGTGCGTCTCGCTGGTCCAGAAGGTGCCACATTGTCGCCAGGCGACGCGCACGGCGGCAATGCGCCTGGCGATTTCGCCCGTGATGCCCTGCCCCGCAGGGAGGTAAGGGCCAAGCACCCTCATCTCCCGCAGTGCTAGGCCTTTGAGCGTAGTGCTGCGTCGGAGCTTGCGAGTAGTACCGTAGCTTCCTTTACCTGTTGTTGAGGCCCCACCCATCCTTCTGCAGCGTCGCTGACAGGCGGTCGGTGGTGCCGTTGGCTTAATCCTCGGTCTGGGTCGCACTCGCCTGTGGTGGAACGACCTGCACGCGAGTAAAGTCGTCCATGAACGTGCTGAGGCCACTGCCGTGAGTTTCACCGCAAACTGGGTTGTAAGTGTCGCGTAGCCATTAGTTGGGGTCGCTTCTCTCGGCACTCCACCACTTGCTCACGTAGATGTTGTAAGCGTCGTTGAGTTGCCTGGGGCAGAGTGCAAAGCCCATTTGGGCGCTCGTGGTGCTTTCAGCCTCGATTTGTCCGTCGGCGGTGTCGAGGCTGAAGGTGGAGCGGTCGATGGCCGCCATCGCGAAACGCTTGTCGCGCTCGTGGGCGTTCTTGAAGGCGACTGCCCGTAGGAGTGCCCTATTAGTAGCTGCAAATGCGTTGGTGCCGTCATAGTTGGTAGTAACGGTGCTGATTCCACCATGGGCCGCTCGCCATTGAGCAGCTTGTGCACAGAGTATGCTATTTTCTCGGCACCTGTGCGGGAGGCCGCCTTCAGCCCCAGGGGGGGTGGTCGGGCGGTGGGCCGCGCTGTTGGATGCCCGAGAACCAGGCCATGCCGAAAGCGTCGTAGACGCGTAGTAGTCGTTTGCCTGATGCCTGGTTTGTTGTTGTTTTTCTCCGCCGGGAAGGCCTGAGAGCGGTGCCAATGTCATGGGGTGGTCTGGCAGCTGCGGCACTGGGTGAGGAGCTCGGTGAATTCGTCCTGGTACTCGTAGTTCAGCTCGCTGATTTCGGTAGTTCCTAGTCCTGCGTAAGTCCCCTTTCCCACCCCGTAGGATCGTTGTGCCCACACGTCTTCCTAACAAGCATCGTGCTGTCTGGTCCCCCTCCCAAGCTCGCTGCCCGTCGCCCATCCCCACTTCTGCAATAGCTCCCTGCCCCTCTTGAACTGTCCCAATGTAGTGTAGTGGGCTAGGTCCTCCTCATCCTTTCTCCGCACAGCTGCTGCTATTCTCCGCTCTTCGAGCTGGTCGGATAGTCTTGCCGGGCTGCGGAGATGAAGCATGGGTCCAGCATGACCCAGACGAGTTCGGTCGGATCGCCCCAAGCTGGCCAGGCCCGCCGCTTGCAAGCGCGTTGGCAATAGCGGAGCATAGCCCTTTTGTCCTCGACAACTTGTCCCTGTAGTTCCGTGTTTATGGGTAGTCGGTCTACGGATTCGTCAATGTATTCTCGATGCTGGGCTCGCTCGGCTTCTCGATCGATCGGAGTCGCTGCTAGTCCCCCGTCTAGTGCTGGTCGGCCAAGTCCGTCCAGCCAATACGCCGTGGCCCAGTTGGTTTTCGGTGAAAGGTAGTACCGCTTTGTCGGGCCTCGTCCGTTCCGCTGGTACTGAATTCGTAGCGGGTGCATCTCTGCGAAATTGCGTTGCTGGTACGCTTCCCAGATTCGCTCTACAATCTGCTTCCTCCTCTCGTTCTCCACCTTCTCTCGTATTGTCTTTAGTACTGCACTAAGTTCCTTTGGTTCGGCCTGTACCGCATCGTACTTGGTCGCTGAGCTCTCGTCGGTCAATCGTACTCGAAAGGCCCGTCGTTGCTCGAGCAGGCTTAGTCGTTGTTGCTTAGCCCTGGTAGTGAGTTCGTCTAGTTCGTGAGTCGCACCCATCTTCGCAACTGTGGTTAGTAGTGCCCTCCTAGCTGCGCCGCGTAGTAAGTCCCAAGTCGTATCTGGGTTCGGTTCTGCTAGGGCCTCCTCTCACCTGTCCTTGCCCACCGCCTTCAGCTCCAGGTCCAGCTGCAGAATCAGCTGGCCGCAGTTGTGCCCGCTGCATAGGCAGTCCAGAAGCCCGTCCTTGCATAGTCCCTGTTGTAGGCGGACGCGGGGTGGGAAGGAGGTGGTGGAGGTGGAGGCGAGGAGGGTGAGTCCGAGCGGAACGTGGTCGCGGTGCCCTCACACTTTTATCTTCTGTAGTCGTTTGCCTGATAGGTGTAGTACCTCGCATCGCTTGACTAGGGGGAGGCAACCAGTAGGAATCGCAATGTGGTCCACTCTACTAGTGTACCCAGAGTGCCCGTAGTAGGTAGCCCCGACATTGTGGTGGATGGTGACGATACTGAGATCGCTTGTTTCGCACAATTCTTTGAAGCGGGTCCCGTTAGTGTTCTCTGCCTTGGGTTGGTAAGGGCCCACTGTGGGGCCCTTTCTGCAGACAATGGAACCGTCGAGCTCCCTATGACAGCCGAAATCGCTGTTGACGTCGCCCCCCAGTACTGCTGTAGTACGGCATCCCAGCTTGTCGGTAGTTTGTTCCAACCAGTGATTAAGACTATCCGCTAGCTGTGGGTGGTACCTCTGATGGGTAGGAGCGTAGTAAAATTCGTAGAGGGCGTAGTCGTAGTGGGTCGTAGTAAGGCGGAGACCTGCCACTCGTCCTTGGAGGTAGTTGGGAGGGGTGTAGACATCGCGGATGGCTTCCTCGTCTATTCTGTGGCTTATTCGCATGGCCGTTCCGCAGCTTTTGTTGACCCACTTCCCCTTTCGGGCCCCGAACTGGTGGAGGACGGTGTTGGAGGGGAGGTAGTTACGTTTCACAGCCTCTGGTCCCGCCCAGCGACACGTACCACTGAGTAGTATGACGTCCGAGTTGTGGAGTTCTGCACTGATATTTTCGAGTCGTTCCTATGTCCCCGCCTCCAATGGGTTGTAGTAGCAAGTTCTCATCGTACGATGGTGACGGACGCCGCCATGAGGCCCCCCAGTCTCCCTGCTCCCGAAGCCTGTGGTCTGGGGGCGCAACGGCGCTGCTGTACAATTGTACGTGAGGTACGGTCGGTATGCTCGGTGACCCTCCCCGCAGTGACCTAAGAAGAATAGGGGGAGGAGGAGGAAGAGGAGGAGCAGGCCACGCAGAGAGGGGGGTAGGGCTTAGTGGGCCCTGGAAACGACAGGGCCGTTGTTTCACATGTTCCGTTCTGCCGTTTTTGTTGCCGGTTCTGACGCCGGTCTTTATTACCGGTTTCGTCGCCGTTGTTTTACCGGTTCGGTTTTCGGTTCCAATCTTGGAGCCGTTTTTTTGTTGTTTCCGGTCGTCGTTTTTTTGGGCGGTTTCCATGTTCAAGGGACATTTTCCGGAAACGGTAAAAAAAAGTCCCTGCCGTTTCCAGGGCCCACTGGGGGTATAGGGGGATGGAGGAAGGTGTCCTAGAAGCACTCCTGGTTCTTAGAAAGCGCGGGCCTTCTCTGCAGTTGTGAGGCTGGCGCCTTCTAATCCTTCTAGGAAGCATGCCCCCCTCCCCTAACGGCGCGCGCCGCCGAGGCCACGCCAGCGGACGGCGTGGACCTCACCGAGACGCTGAAGTACGGCCAGGACCTCACCGAGGCCGCCCGCGCGGGCAGGCTGGACCCGCTCGTCGGCCGCGAGGAGGAGCTCAAGCGCACCATCCGCATCCTGGGCCGCCGCTCGAAGAACAACCCCGTGCTCGTCGGGGAGGCCGGCGTGGGCAAGACGTCCATCGCGGAAGGCCTGCAGAGGAGCAGGAGGTCAGGAGTAGCAGAGGATACGCTCCAGGAGTCCCCCAAGATGCCCCAGATGCCCTCCTGTTCCACACGGGCTGCAGGGGTGAGGGCCGCAAGATACTCCGGAGATCCTGGAACGTACCCTGATCCAATCGTCGCAGCATGACGCCATAATCGTTCCAGGCTTGGCGCAGCGCATCGCTGCTGGGCGCGTGCCAGCGTCGCTGAAGGACAAGCACGTCGTGCAGCTCGATATCGCGCTGCTCCTGGCCGGCACCCGCTACAGGGGCGACTTCGAGGAGCGCCTGCGGGCGGTCGTCAAGGAAGTGTCGGAGAGCAACCGCCGCGTCATCCTCGTGATCGACGAGGTAGCGGGCAAGATGTATATCCATATCCATTGCGTCTTGCACTTTCTGGAAGTGGCGCCGAAAGGCCGAGGCGCAGTAGATGCGGATGAAAGTATCTAGCCTCTAGGGGCCAGAGTGTCATCGATGCCCACTGCGCCTAGGGTGTCTTGGGAAGGTAGTCCGAACATATCTAGCCTCTAGGGGCCAGAGTGTTCTCGATACCTACTGCGCCAAGGGTGTCTTGGGAAGGGAGTTCGAAATTGCAAGATGCAGTGGATGATGATGATATGTATGTACATCTTGCACCCCCACGAGGTGCACACGTTGGTTGGCGCAGGGGGCAGCGGCGGAGAGGGCGGCGGCATCGACGCCGCCAACCTCCTGAAGCCGGCCTTGGCGCGCGGCGAGCTGCAGTGCATCGGCGCCACCACCCTGGACGAGTACCGCAAGTACATCGAGAAGGACCCTGCCCTGGAGCGCCGCTTCCAGCCCGTGACCGTGCCCGAGCCCACCCTGGAGGAGTCGGTGCGGATCCTGGAGGGTCTCCGAGGGCGAACTTCTAAGAGCAGCATTCTGGGCCCCCCCCAGCCCCCCCCGGCGCGCGGCGCGTGCCAGAGAGGGGGCCTCCTCCTCCTCCTCCTCCTTCTCCTCCTCCTCCTCCTCCTCCTCCTCCTTCTCCTCCTCCTCCTCCTCCTCCTCCGCCTCCTTCTCCTTTCTCCTCCTCCTCCTCCTCCTCCTCCTCCTCCCCCTCCCCCTCCCCCTCCCCCTCCTCCTCCTCCTCCGCCTCGTCCTCCTCCTCCTCCTCCTCCTCCTCCTCCTCCTCCTCCTCCTCCTCCTCGTCCTCTCTCCTCCTCCTTCCTCGCCAGAGGAGGCGGCGCAGACCGGTGAAACGTAAGACTCGAGCGCGCCGGCACCCGGGCTTGCCGACGCTTTTCGACGGGCGCGTCTTGGATCTTGACGGTCCAGTTTTCGTTGGTTTTTCGCAGCGGGAGCGCGCGCCACATCTCAGGCTGGGCCTCGTCATTCTCATGAGGGCCCCTGTCAGGCCAGCCCGAGTCCCCCGAACCCGATCCCTACGCCTCCCCGGCAGCGAGGGGGTCCGGCGCCGATCCGCGCGGACTCCGAGAGTTCATGCTTATGGTATCCCGGTATTCCCGCAGTCGGGGGGGAGGAAGAGTGTCAATGTCAAGCCGCCGCGGGGGCCCCCAGGACCCCATCGGCGTGTTACTCCCTCGTTCGTCGTCCGAAAATAGCACCGCACATCGGGGCCCTGGGGCCCCCTCGCGGCGGCGTGACATTGGTACTCTTTCGCCCCCCCCGACACAGCAGCGCCCCGCGTCTCACTTCGCCTCCTGCCCTTCCCTGAGATCCTGGCGCTGCAATTTCTCACCTCGGGCGTCCTCGCCCCGTTTTTGTTGGGGACCCGGGTCCTTCGCAGATCGATCCGGCTCAAGACGTGACTCAAAAAATGGCGCAGAAAGATATGGTGTCTAGAGCTCTGGGAATGATTTTCCTCGATGCTGCAATTTGTTCGCAACGTCGGAGATCTCAGGGCTGCTGCCTGCGCCCTCCGTGGCAGCGCCCGCCTTCGGACTTGGACCCGTTTTCCGCACCCCGCGTGACGGCTCCGCCCAAGTTTGGCCCCGCCCTCGCTCTCTCCGTGGCCCCGTAGGGGGCTCCGCGAAAGGCCCCCGTGGCAGCACCCGCAGGGCCCACATTGCAGCCATGTTGTGGCGCGCTGCGTTGAGTGAGCGGCCAAATCGCACGCCACTCGCAGTTTGATTGCCCCTCTCCTGCGTATCACCTGCTGTGCGGCTCGCCGCGCCGTCTGCTCCGACGCGCGGCCTTCCGTCTCGGGGAGGGCGCCGCGGCCACCAGGGCAAACGCGTTCTCGTGCGCGGTGGGCTTGCCGTGGGGTCTGTCACGTGGTGGCGTCGTCTGATTGGGGGGTGGCGCCGGGCTTGCCGTGGGCTTGCCATGGTGCCGGCATGGTTTGCCATGGTTCAAGGAAACGGCGCGGCGACACATGTCTTAAAGATCAAAGAACCCCTAACATCGATGACATAATGAAGATGTGGCCTCACTTCGGTTCCCATCTTTGCAGTCGGGATCATAATTCTGGGCGGTGTGGCTTGGCACATCTGAAGACAAGACCCCCTTTATCCCTGATGTCCGTGGCCCTCCTAACGTTGGTCGCCTCCCCCCAAAAAAGGTTATAGGGGTGTGTTTTTGCTCACCAGTCCGTGCCAGACATGCGACGTCCTAGTTTCTTCAGTACGGCGTCCCTGGAAGTACCGACCCTTGCTCCGGGACCGGTATGTCCTCCCGAGTCGTCTTGTTGACGGCCCCGGGGTCCGGCGAGGGCCCCGAGGGTCGAACAGCATTTTCGAGTTTGCCGTCTTGCTTTCGTTTTCACGACGCGAGCATGTCTGGGTGGGGGCCCTTCGTCAGGCTAATGTCTTGTTCGGGACGCCCGAAATGGGTACGGAAAGAATGGGTACCATGCCCAACAGCAGTTCCTGCTCATTTTGAACCGGATCCGCTGTCCACGCCGCCTCGGCCTGTGTCCATTCGAGACAGAAGGCCGCCTGCCCAACAGCGGCCGCTGTTGGTTTGGGACAGCATTTGCTGTTGGGCATTGTACCCATGTGTTCCGTACCAATTTCGGGCGTCCAAATTTGTCCCCCCAGGTCTCGCCCCGAAGTACGAGCGGCACCACCAGCTGCGCTACTCCCGGGAGGCCCTCGCCGCGGCGGTGGCGCTGGCCTCGCAGTACATCGCCGACCGCTTCCTGCCCGACAAGGCGGATGGGCGTGTTTTCCACCCCCACCCCCACCATAAGTTGGAGGGGGGGCGTCCTCCTCCTCCTCTTGCCTCCTTCTCCTCCTCCTCCTCCTCCTCCTCCTCCTCCTCCTCCTATTCTTCGTCCTCCTCCTCGCCCTCCTCCTCCTTCCCCCATTCAACTTATGGTGGCGGTGGTGGAAAACAGGCCCGTCAAAGGCCATCGACGTCATGGACGAGGCTGGGTCCAAGGTGCGGCAGGAGCTCCACGAGGATCGAGGGACAAAAGAAGGGCGCCATGGGGGGAACGGGCCCCGAGAGAAACGGGTCTTGCGGTGCTTCGCCGTTTTTGGGGCTTCCTGGGCCCTTCATTGGCCCCGGGACTGTCAGAGAACGACTCAGTCTAAGGATTCGTTCCCCCATGTCGAAAACATATTAATAGACATACCCCTCGGAGTTCCGCGCGGATTGTTTGGGTCTGCGCTGGAGTCCCTTGGCGGCGCCGCCTGCGCCGCCCCTGGCACGCTCGGCGCGCCAGGAAGGGGGGCCCCAGCGCCGATACGATACAGGGGCGCGCATCAAGAAACCATATGGTTTCCGTCAGGGTATCCTGGGTTTCTTCGCTCCTCGCGCTGCGCGGTGACTTCTCGCAGCCGTTGAAGGAGCTGCTGCGTTCAGGGTGCTCCGGGTTTCCCCTCAGGTGTAGCTCGCGCACGGGTTCTCAGGGTTGGGTTTCTTGCGAGGGTTTCTTGCGGCCGCGCCCACGCTGTCGATCCGCGCGGGCCCTGGGGTGCTTCTGGAGCCACCTGCGCATCCCTGGGGCTGCTGGGGCCACCTCTGGCCAGGGCCACCTCCAGCAGCGCCCGAGAGGAGGCGGAAGTCAGCAAGGTGGCCGCGGAGTACCTGGCGGCCAGCCAGGAGCTCGAGGCGGTGCGGGCACGGAAGAGGGCGGCCGTCGCCTCGGAGCGCTACGACGAGGCGCAGCGGCTGAAGGCGCGGGAGGCGGGGCTGAACGAGCGCCTGGGCCGCCTGCAGGGCGCAGGTGGCGGCGCCGCGCCTGGCGCGCGGGAGCTGCTGGAGGAGCTGCGCGGCCTGAAGGCGCGGATGCAGGAGCTCGGCCTCGCTCGAGGCATGTTGCCCCCTTTTGTCGCACTCGAGGGCCATTGCCCAGAAGCCATCTCGAGCGCCCAGACAAGGGCCGAAGCAGTGTGGAACGAGTGCCGCCTCCCGGGGCCCGTCACGTGCAAGCCCTCCAGGTTTCGGTACTTTCTGGGTGCTCGACATTCTTTCTGGTGATCGAGGCTAACGTAGGCTGGAACACCATAGCTCTCGAGGAAGAAGAGGGCATAAGCAGGAGCCCGCGGAGACCGGCGCTGAGCCCCCGCGCGGGAGGCGCCGCGCGCGCCGCCCCGTGCGCGCTCCGCGTGCCAGGACGGGGGCCCCAGCGCCGATGCAGCAAGTCCAAGCGGAGCTCCAAGAGGTCTTGTTTGTGGCGTGCTCTGTTTGCCACGAAGCAAAAGCAAAGGTCCGATCGGACGCCTCACATGGTCACGCCCCACTCGTGAGGACGGCGAAACTGTAAAACAGGCCTGCCATGGCGAGCAACGCTGGCTGTTTGCCAATCTGCCGGAAAGCTGGCCCGGGGGCCCATGGGGCCGCAGCCCACTGGGGCCACCCAGGGTCTCGCGAGGGCTCTCTCCCCTCCCCGAGCCGCCCAGAGGCCCCCCAGCCTCCCCCGAGAGACCCCCAGCATTCCGAAGAGGCTCCCAAGACTGCCCAAGGGCATTCGAAGACGGCTCGAGAAGGCCCCAAGCTGCTCCCCCAGAGGGCCTCAGGATGCCCAAGTCGCCCCAATCCGGAAGGAAATCGAGCAATCTCAGCAAGTTGTTTCTCTGTGGTATAACCGCGTCCACGACGGCCTACGATCGCCCCAAGGCGGCCCACGAGGCCCCAAGAGAGGGGCCCAAGAGGAGCAGATGCCAACTGGGAAGCGGAGCCCCGAAGTCGCCAGCAGAACCCTGGGGGCCCAAGAGGCCCCCGAACTGCCCCCAGGAGGCCCCTTACGAGGGTACACAGCTGGCTACAAGACGCGCCCGAGAAGCACGCCAAGAGGCCCAAACATGTATCCGAGAAGCCAGGACCGGCGGCGGGATGAGCCGAGTGCCAGTAGATCCGCCGTTCCCGTGTGGTCTTGTAAAACAGGGCTAGGATCGGGATAAATCGCTCCAGAGCGTTCCGGAGCGCTCTCCGAGCGTTCCAGAACGCTCTGGAGCGGCCGCGGCGCCCAATACATCCTCCAAACCCGCCGATTCTCAGAGATTTCGAGTTATCCCGATCCGATTTTGTCCCGACCTTCGCGTCGTTTTATCTTGCCACAGGTGCGCATAGCGTGCCAGACACACGAGTGGTTTGTGTTGTCTCGGTTCCCAGTGGGGCCTCGGCCGATCACACGGGACGCCGCCCAAAATACATGTCCCGTTGCCCGCATCGCCGCCGAGAGGGCCAAGATTGCCCTACAGTGAGCGGCTTGAATAAGGAACACTTGCTTTTCAAAAGGGGCTCGGTCGTTCCTTAGGTTTTACGTGCGTTATTTACCGTTCTCGATGCGTTACCTATAATGTATCGTTCCTTATGCGTTATTCCTTGGGAAAAAACAGGGGCTTCGTTCCTTATTTATCGTTCCTTGGGTCAGGCCGATGACTGTAGATCGCCTCCAAGATATTTCCACGACGGCCAAGATGTTTCGAAGAGGGCCCAAGCTGGCCCCTATGATGTCTTCAAGACGGCCCACCATGAACCCCAAATGGCTTACTATTGCCTGTAGATGGCCGAAGACGGCCCAAGAGGCCCGTTTCCAGGACGACCCGAGAGACCTCCAAGAAGTTTCCCAGGAGGCCAACAGCATTGTTCCCCCGTATGTTTTCAATCGTTTCAGCATTCTTGTTGTTTCGGGTTTCCGACGCGCCAGGACGGCACTACATGACATGACCCCAAGATTGGCCCAATCTTGCCCGAGAGCCCCCCCAAGAGGCCCACGAGACGGCCCAAGATGGCCCCAAGGCGACCCAAGGCGGCCCAAGAGCAAGACGGCCCTACAGGCCCCCAAGACAACCCGAAATGGGGGGACCCACGACTGCCCAGAGAGGGCCCCTAGGCGGCCTCCAAAGGCCAAGAGGAGGTTTCCTCGAGGCTCCGAGGAGGCCCACCAAAAGCCCCATGACGCCCCTCAGAGGCCTCGCAGGGGCTCCCAGGAAGCCCCTAGGAGGCTCGAAGGCGGCCTCAAGAGGCCTCCTCTCCTTCCGCCTCGTCCTCCTACTCTTCGTGCTCCTCCTGCTCTTCCTCGTCCTCCTCCTTCCTCTCCTCGTCCTTTTTCTTATTCTCCTAAGTGTTCCCCAGTTGGATTTCACAACAGCCTTCTGAGAACACATAGTCCAAAGCATGAGCGTGTCCAAAAGCATGTGGCGGCGGTGATTCACCTTAGGCGTCTTCGATGAGCAGATTTTTTGCGGCGCGGCTAGGCAGGGGACGTCTGCGCTGGCGGAAGAAGCTACCTAAACGGGTCACCGTTGTAGCGAATTGGCCAGCATGCAAGAAGGGGAGGAGGGACGGAGTGGGCGGCCGCAGGGAGGGGTAAAAAGCGAATGCCGCTCAGGGGGGACGGGTCACTCCCTGAGTGAGCTGGCGCGCTGTGCGAACCCCGTCTCTGGGACTGTCGGCGGAGCTCCCTGTGGGGCACGACCCTTGTGTCGATTCCGGCGGGAGGGGGGGCGGGATGCGAACCTTGTCTCCGAGGCCATATGTGGAACTCCCTTCGGGGCACGACTCGTGTGAGACGCGTGCCGGAGTGAGCGGGGCGATTCGTTGCGATTTTCGCCTCTGGTGCCGTGGGTGTCGCTACCTCCTGGACGCGGTCCGCGTGAGAAGCGTGCCGCTGTGTGGATCCTGTTTCTGGGGTCGTGGGTGGAGCTCCGTGTGGGGCAAGATACGCGCGAGAGGTGTGCCGAGATGGGCGAGGGGACGCCCCTCTGAGGGGCACGATCCGTTGTGCCGAAATAGGCGGTGCGAGGACGCCACTGAGAGATGCATGCCCGCGACTGCGCGGGCGTCCCCGTGCGATCGGTGATCGTGGTGGGATGGTGTGCGCGCCCATCCGCTGAGTGATGTGACGCTGGGCCTGACAGGACCTGAGCACGCGCGCAGCGCGCGCGCGCGGGGTTCTCGTCTTCTCCTCGCCCGGCCCATCCCCATCCCAGGCCGGCTGGGCCTCCTTGGTGCCGCCAGCTTGCGGCCGCGAAGCGCAGACGGACCCCGAGGGAAAAACGGCCCCCGAGGCTCACACGGGCATTTTTTTACACACGCACACACACATACATATATATATATATATATATATATATATATATATATATTCATATATATATATATATATATATATATATCCATATCGCGCTCCCGAAGCCTTGCACGCCCGCAGGCTGTTAGAAACCAGACTCGCCATGACGTCAACAACGACGATGACGACGACGACGATGACGACGACGACGACGACGCATTCCAAAGTGTGCCAGGGTGCCTTGGCGCCACCAGCCTACCCCTTCGAGGTGTGGACGGGTGCCGCGACACCCGGCGGAGAGGGCATCGATGCCCCCCGCCAGTGTGATACAGCCAAGCCGCTGAAAACAGGACCGCTTCGGGCTCAGGCGGGGCTCTGGTTGAAGCCTTCTCGGGGCCTGAGGTGGCTCAGCATTGCTTCTGGCCAGCGGGCAGGGTGGGCAGGCTCAGTGAACTGGGTTCGGGAGGGTTTTTGGGGAAGTTGTTTTTCTTTTTCGGCTTCTGGGGGCCCTCTTGCAATCAAAAATGAATCTGGGTTGAACAACTGCACCAACTAGATGCTGGAAGGAGTCCTGGGACCGTTTTTGAACGCATTTCTCTTCGGCCCTAGAATGGAAGACAAACAAAAAGGCATATACTTGAACTTTTGGCGCTCCGCGCGGATTTCTTGGATCCGCGATGGGCCCTCCCGGGCGGCGCTTCTGACGCCGCCCCTGGCCCGCTCCGCGCGCCGGGGAGGGGGGGTCCAGAGCAGATCCAAGAACTCCGAGTGGAGCGCCAACATGTTATGTCCTTGCTTTTGATGTTCTACAGAAGGTCCTTCGTGCCAAAGCCAAGCTTCCATTCTGCTACCACGGGGACCGCAGCCGCGGAGGTAAAGAGTTACGTAGACGTGCACTCTTCCAGGGGTCCGCTCGGAGTGCTTAGGTCGGCGCTGGTCCCCCCAACAAATTTGTAGACATATTCTGCGCGAACCAATTCAAACTTTCCAGACAAAAAAAAAAAACGTCGAAACACTTGTGACACAACTGACGAATCAATCAAACTGAAACCAACACACCGCCCTTCAAAAACGGGACATCGAGAACAGAATCCTGACACAACACCCAATCCAGAAAAACATGTTTATTCATAAATCCCAACCACCCTGGCGCGCGGAGCGCGTCAGCAGCGGCGCCAGCGGCGCCGCCACTTGGGGCCGAGCTCCGGCCCAAGAGATCCGCGCGGACCTCCGGCCGCGGCGGCGGCCCCGCCGCGGGCGTGTTCGAGGTGGCACGCCGCCGGCGGCCCAGCATCGGCCAGCACGGCATGATCTTGCGATCGAATCGGCATCACCCTGACATACTTATACTATATGTGCTTCGCCCCCCCGGAGGCGACGCGCGCACCGAGAAATCTTATAGTATATGCGTCGTGGGGGGCGCTTTCTGGCCACACCGCTCGGGAAACGATATACTACAAGATGGGTATACTATATGTTCGGGTCGGACGCGCGCCTCCAAGGAGGACATATAGTACTAGTATGTATTTGTGCTTCCCATCGAAGAGCCGCCGATCGCTCAAGGCGGAACGATCCACGCGGTGTCAGGAGCCAGCGCTCGAGGAGCAAACAAGAAAGTGCACAGGCCGAGTTACTCTGAGGTCCGCACTGATTTCTTGGATCGGCGCAGGGCCCCCCCGGACGGCTCCTCCAGCGCCGCCCCCTGGAGCTCCCCGCGTGCCAGGCATGGGGCCAGATCCGCTCAGAATCGGTCCCCGGGCCCCTCCCCCCAACAAGATCCCCCCGAACCCATCGGGTAGCCCCCCCGGAGGGGCAGCGGATCTCAAGTGTGGCAGAGCGATCGAATCGAACCTTCAGGCGATTTCGTTGCCTGGGGAAGAGAAAGGAAAACAAAACAAAAAAACTAACCCAGAACCGCGCCGCCCTCAGGGAAGATCGGCTCGTGCAGTCTTTGTCGTCGCGTGCGCGGGCCCCGCCGCCGCGGCGCCGAGGAGCTCGTGGACGCGGAGCGCTTCGGCGAGGCGCACGAGCTGCAGGCTCGCGAGGCCGAGCTCGCAGCGCGCCTCTCGAGGATCGGGGGCGCGGGGGGCGCGAGCGCGGCCTCGAGCGCGGCCGCGAGCGCCTCGGTGGCCAGGCAGTGCCAAGAGGGCGCGCTGGCGTCGATTCGCGTCGACGGCGTCTGCTGCCGCAGGTTCGCGTCGTGTCGACCGGCGGCGGCCCCCCCGCCAGCGTGCAACGTGGAACGCCGCCGCCGACCCAGAACCGGTCGATGTGCAACAATCAGCAGACGTCTCGGAGACGGCCGATCCTTCAAGGTTGAACGATCCTCGCGGCGCCGGGAACCAAAACTGGGGTCGGCACGACACGAACCTGCCGTGACCGACGGGACAGCGCCGGTGTGGCGTCAAGGAGTGTCGATTGGCGTCGATTCAGCGTCGATCAGCCTTCAATCGCAAGAGCCAGCAAGATGCTGTGGTAGGCTCCCATGCGTTGCCACAGAAGGGGTCTCGGAGAACAACAAGAATTGGCTTCGGTCCTGGAACCTCGATTGCCAGTTGGAGTTGGGTGCCCCCTCAGGGTTCCCAGTGATTTCCAGTGACTTCCAGTGAAAACTCGTTTTCCAATTATTAGGAGCGGAGAGGAACAAGCAACGGCGTAGACATAATTTTTCGGAGGTCCCCGCGCATGTGCTGGATCAGCGCCGGATTGTCCTGGCGGCGCCTGTGACGGCGGCCCTGGCGTGCTCCGTGCACCAGGGAGCGGGGTCTAGCGCAGATCCAAGAAATCCGCGCCCACCGTCGACGACACGTGCTGCTTCAGCTGTTCCGTTCCTCTACGCTAGGGGGGGCACCAACTCTTGGACATCGAGGTCACAGGCGAGGAGGTGTTTTTGGGGACGTCTGGGACGTCTGGAAGGCTCTGGAGTGCTCTCGGGGGCGCACGTCCTCGAGGAAACGGCGCTTCCTCGAGGAAGCGGCGGACCTCCGAGTGCTGACACCCCTTGGAATTGCCCCAGGTGGACCGCCTCGTCACGGCGCAGGACATGGCCGAGGTGGTTGCCACCTGGACCGGCATCGCAGTGGAGCAGGCCCAGATAATCAGAACAAGCTGCACTCTTCAGAGGAGGAACAGACACCGAGACCTTCCCCTCGTCTTTAGAGCCCCCGTCCTCACGGCTAGATTCTCGAAATTCTTGTCAGAGCGCACCTTTGGAGAGGTCTGGGGAGTAGTGGTACAGTCAACCCGCATTCTAAGGATGGGAAACCGTCCCAAGAGTATCCTTGCATCCTTGCCTCCTCGGTCGGTCCTTCGCCACTCTCGTCGGCCGCGCCCCGCTCGGAAAGCTTCGAAATGGCCCTCCAAGGCCTTTGCGTCCTTCTCGTGCGTCCTTATGATACGGATCGACTGTACCGGTACCTGGTGTCGTCCCCAATACCATTATACATACGCATGATCCTTTGGACGTCCGCGCGGATTCCTTGGGTCGGCACTAAACCTTCAGGAGGGAAACAAAAACACAGACACCATTACTCCTCGATTCCCCCGAAAAGATGTGAAACTATGGGAAGTGGGGGGGAGAGACGAAAATCCCCCAAAGATTGAAAATTATTCGAAATCCTGAGATCAGTGTGTGTATCTATTTGTGTGTCCCTGGGCCCCTTCAAGCCTCCTTCCCCGCGGCCGTTCCCGGAGCGCGCCCGGGGGGCGCTGCCAGAGGCGCCGCTAGGGGTGCGAGGAGAGGGTCCCGCGCCGACGCGAGAGACTCGCGCGGGCCGCCGCTTCGGGCACGTCGCTCTACGGGAGGAGGGTTCAAAATAGTAAAAAAATAGTCTGTCGACGATTTTCTTCACTATGTTTAATTCTTTTGTTGCAATTCTGGAGTATGTTTCATTTTTCTTCCAAAGTTTGCTTGTAGAAGAACATGCCCGACCTAACAGCAGTCCTCCTAGATAGGGGTCGGATTAGATGGGGTCGGGGATCGCGCCGCATCGACGATGCGTCGGAAATGCGGCTCGATGTGGAGCCCGATGTTCTCCACGCCGACGGCGCCGAAGCATCGACGACGTCGCCGATGCATCATTGGTGCATCGCCGGTGCACGGCCGATGCATCGCCGATGCATCGCCGCTGCATCGCCGATGTATCGGCGATGCGGCGCGATCCTCCGACCCCATCTAGTCCGACCCCAGCTAGGACGCCTCTCATGTATGATTGGGTGGCTTCTCGGTGCTCCGAGGTCGGCGCAACCGAGTCCAGGAAGCTGATGGGCCTGGAGAAGGCGCTGCACAAGACGATCATCGGCCAGAACGCGGCGGTCGACGCGGTCTCGCGGGCGCTGCGTCGCGCGCGGGCGGGGCTGCGGGATCCCGACCGGCCGATCGCCAGCTTCATGTTCTGCGGGCCCACAGGCTTCGGCGCCGCACGGAAGGGGGCATGGCGAGGGGGAAGGGATCGGGGGCGAGGATCGAGGAGTTTCGCTGTTGCGTTCAGCCCTGGAGGCCTCCTTGGGGATCTTTGGCGACTCCAGGGGCCCCCGGAGACCCGGTGTATCCAGGGGGTGGGGAGTGGGGGGGGGCGGGGGGACTTTCGCATGACGTAGTGAGGCGCATGTGATTGCGAAGGCCTTGCGCCCAGTGCCGCCGACGTCGACGACGATGGCGCTGACGTGGGCCCGAGTCCTCAGGGATGCTTCTTGGGGTCTCTTGGGATTGAAAGCTCTCGGGGGCCTCTGGGGAATTCTGGGGTCTCCTGGGGGACCTCTTGGGGGCCTCCTGGGGGCCTCCTTGGGGCCTCCTGGGGGCCTCTTGGGGACCTCTCGGGGGCCTCTTGGGGGCCTCCTGGGGAACCTCTTGGGGCCCCCCGGGAGTGGTGAGGCACGTGTGATGTTTCACGGGAGCGGCGACGCATATGCCCCCCCGATTGCCATCTGGGAAGGCTGCCCCCCTCGCCAAGTGTGGAGTCGGGCGTGTCCCTCTACGGGAGGATTCTGCAAAAGTTGTCGCAAACGAGTCTGGGGACGATTTTCCCCACCACGTTTGATTCTTTTGTTGCAGTTCTGGAGTCGCTTCCATTTTTCGTCCAAAGTTTACCTGTAGAAGAACATGCCCGACCTAACTGCAGTCCTCCTAGGTAGGGGTCGGATTAGGTGGGGTCGGGGGATCGCGCCGCATCGGCGATGCGTCGGCGATGCGGCTCGATGTGGAGCCCGATTTACTCCACGCCGACGGCGCCGAAGCATTGCCGACGTAGATAAATTGGGATTTGCTTGACCATGTTTGAGCATTTTTGGATTCTGTTCCATTTTCCTTCATGCCACCCGTGCCCCTGTCTGCTCAACGTTAAGCTGGGCATGTCCCTCTACAGGAGGATCATTCAAATAGTCAGAAACAGTCTGGGGATGATGTTTTGACAACTTCTGGCTAAGCTTAACGCCAACAGGTGTTGGCAAGACCCACGTGTGCAAGACCTTGGCGTCGACATTCTTCGGCTCGGCGGACTCCATGATCCGCCTGGACATGAGCGAGTTCATGGAGAAGCACACGGTCTCAAAGCTAATTGGGGCTCCGCCAGGCTACGTGGGCTACAACGACGGCGGCACCATGACGGAGGCTGTGAGGAGGCGTCCGTATTCGCTGCTACTCTTCGACGAGGTGGAGAAGGCCCACCCTGACGTATTCAACGTCATGCTGCAACTGCTGGACGACGGGCGTCTGACCGACTCCAAGGGCCGCACCGTGTCTTTCGCCAACACGCTGATCGTCATGACGTCCAACCTGGGCAGCCGGGCCGTGCAGAAGGGCGCTGGAGGGAGTTTCGGGCTTGGATTCGGCACGGCGGGCGAGGAGGAGGAGGAGGAGGAGAACTACGCGGCCATGAGGGAGCTTGTGATGGACGACATGAAGTCGTTCTTCCGCCCAGAGTTTATCAATAGGTTGTCGAGCGTCGAGTAATGGGGGTGCGATGACTGGGGGGGGGATGGAAGGTGCACATGTGGTGCCCTGAAGGGGCCTCTGGGGAGCCAAAAGGGTCACGAAAGGTGAACGTTTCTCCCGCCCCCCACGTATCGCACACCCCATTAGTTCACGCCCGAGGCTGGACGATCTGGTCGTGTTCAGGCCCCTGAGCAGGGACGACGTGCGCGCCATCGCCGAGGTCGAGTTCCGGAAGGTGCTCGCTCGCCTCGGGGAGAGGGACCTCGACGTCGTGCTGACTCAGGCGTTCAAGGACCGCGTGGTCGACCGAGGGTTCGACCCCGCCTTCGGCGCCCGGCCGCTGCGGCGAGCCATCTCGAGCATGCTCGAGGACACGCTGGCGGAGCACCTGCTGGAAGCAGCGGGCGAGGGCCTCGACGACGAGGACGCAGCATCGCCAGATCCATCCCCATCTCCAGTGCCCTTGGCGTGCACTGCCCGGCCCCTTCGCGAGGCGGCCGCGAACCCTGGCCGAGAGGGCATCCATCCCACCGTAGAGTGGCATAGGTTTTCTCGGAAAGTCTTGCTGCCGTCCCAGGACCTGACCCCTGAACGTCGCTGGAGGTCCTCGGAGGTCCCCAGAGGTCCCCGGATGCCTCCATGGAGGCCTCCAGCGGGGGGTCCGCCAAATACGCCCGAAAACCTTCGCCCCCCCACCTCCTCCTGGTCCTCCTCCTCCTCGTCCTCCTCCTCCTCCTCCTCCTCCTCCTCCTCCGCCTCCTCCTCCTGCTCCCCGTCCTCCTCCTCCTCCCTCTCCTCCTGCTCCTCCTCCGCCTCCTCCTCCTCCTCCTCCTCCTCCTCCTCCTCCTCCTCCTCCTCCTCCTCCTCCCCCTCCCCCTCCGCCTCCTCCTCCTGCTCCTCCTTCTCTTCCTGCTTCTCCTTCTACTCCTGCTCCTGCTCCTCCTCCTCCTCCTTTTCCTCTGCCTCCCCCTCCTCCTCATCCTTCCCGCCTCCTCTCCTCCTCCTCCTCCGCCACCTCCTCCTCCTCCTCCTCCTCCTCCTCCTCCTCCTCCTTCCTCCTTCTCCTCCCCCCTCCTCCTCTCCTCCTCCTCCTCCTCCTCCTTCTTCTCATCATCATCCTCCTCCTTCTCCTCCTCCTCCTCCTCCCCCTCCTCCTCCATTCCTTGTGCTTATGGGTAATTCAGTCATCCTTGTCGCACCCCGAGGTCAGTTTTTATGGCGGGCCGGGCGTTTTGCCTGAGTCTTCTTCACCATTTACGACTCTGAAGCTGGAAGGGTGACAACAGTTTCGCATATGGAGGGCGGGTTGTTTTCAAAATGTGGCTCGCGCCTCAGAGCCGCGCACATTCGTTTTAGACATCTGCAAGAGCTTCACGGATTGAGGGCGGGTGGTGTTCGAAATGTGGCTCTCGCCTAAGCGCCGCGCACATTCGTTTCAAGCATCTGCCAGAGCTTCACGGATTGAGGGCGGGTGGTTTCCAATAGATGGTTCTCGCCCTAGCGCCGCTCTCATTCGGTTGTAAAATTTGCAAGAGCTTCACGGATTGAGGGCGGATGGTTCTCAATATGTGGTTTTCGCCTTAGCGCCGCGCACATGATTCTTTTGTTCATGTGCAAGAGGTTTGCGGATTGAGGGCGGATGGTTTTGAAAATGTCGTTCTCGCTTCAGCGCCGCGCACATTCGTTTCGAGCATTTATAAGAGTTTTACGGAATGAGGGCGATTGGTTGTCAACATGTCGTTCTTGCTTTAGCGCTGCGTTTTTAATGTGCAAATGCTTCACGGATTGAGGGCGGATGGTTTCAAATGTTGTTCTCGCATTAGCGCCGTGCATATCATTTGTTTTTTCTTTAAACAATGCCAGAGTTTCACGGATTGAGGGCGTGTGGTTTTCAACATATGGCTCTAGTCTTAGCTCCGCGCACATTCGTTTTTCAATTGTGCAAAAGCTTCACGGATTGAGGGCGGGTGGTTTTCAACATGTGGTTCTAGCCTGAGCGCCTCGCACATTCGTTTCTAAATTGGGCAAGAGCTTCACGGATTGAGGGCGGGTGGTTTTCAACATGTGGTTTTCGTCTGAGCGCCGCGCACACTCGTTTTCACAATTTGCAAGAGTCACACGGATTGAGGGCGGCCCCTTTTCAAAATGTGGTTCTCGCCTTAGCGCCGCGCACATTCGTTTTGAACACTTGCAAGAACTTCACAGATTGAGGGCGGGTGGTTTTGAAAATGTCGTTCTTGCTTTAGCGCCGCGTTTTTTAATGTTCGAGTGCTTCACTGATTGAGGGCGGAATGTGTTCAAAATGCTGTTCTCGCCTTAGCGCCGCGCACATCCTATGGTTTTTGTTGTTAAGAAACGCCAGGGCTTCACGGATTGAGGGCGGGTGGTTTCCAACATGTGGCTCTAGCCTTCGCTCCGCGCGCATTCGTTTTTTAATTGTGCAGGAGCTTCACGGATTGAGGGCGGGTGGTTTTCAACATGTGGCTCTAGCCTTAGCGCCGCGCACATTCGTTTCTAAATTGGGCAAGAGCTTCACGGATTGAGGGCGGGTGGTTTTCAACATGTGGTTTTCGGCTTAGCGCCGCGCACACTCGGTTTTTACAATTTGCAAGAGTTTCACGGAATGAGGGCGTTTCCTTTTAAACATGTGGTTCTCGCTTTAAGGCCGCGTACATTCGTTTTGTTCGTTTAAACAATTGCAAGAACTTCGCGGGCTCCCATGATCACCGTACCAGAAATAGTGGTTTGGAAAGATCGAAGGTTATGGGGGCGCAGCAGTCATGTTGCTTCGCTGTGTTGAAGTCCCACAAATGGCGTTCTGACACGACTCCGGGTCGTCAAGGCGCAGCAGTCAGGTCGATACGTGGCGTTGCAATCCCGAGAACAATGTTTTGGCACGCTTCAGGATATTCAAACGGTTGTCTTCCAACAAGGCAGTCCCCCCAATGAAATTGAACCGTTGTAGGGGCCTACGAAGAGGGAGCTTGGAGGGAGGGTCAATTCCAACATCGTTGATGGCTCTTGGGTTTCCACTGGTCCTCCCCCTCCTCCTCCTCCCCCTCCCCCTCCCCCTCCTCCTCCTCCTCCCCTCCTCCTCCTCCTCCTCCTCCTCCTCCTCCTCCTCCTCCCCCCCCCCTCCCCCTCCCCTCCCCCTCCTCCTCCTCCTCCTCCTCTCCTCCTCCTCCTCCTCCTCCTCCTCCTCCTCCTCCTCCTCCTCCTCCTCCCCTCTCCTCCTCCTCCTCCTCCGTCCTCCTCCTCCCCCTCCCCCTCCCCTCCTCCCCCACCTCCTCCTCCTCCTCCTCCCCTCCTCCTCCTCCCCCTCCTCCTCCTGACCCCCACCCTCGGGGGCGGCGGCGAGCGACGTGGCAGAGCCACCCCATGGCTTGCCCCTCCCTCCCTCCCTCCCCTTTCCTCTCCTCCGTCCCCTCCCTCCCTCCTCTCTCCTTCCCTCCTCTCTCCCCCTCAACCCTCCCTCCCACCCTCCCTCCCTCCCTCCTCCCTCGCTCATCGCTCCTCCCTCCTCCCTCCTCCCTCCTCCCTCCTCAGTGTGTCGTGCCGCGATGCTGCAGGACGGCGGGCCCGCTGCCAGGCAGAAGGCTCCCGCACATCGCAGGGCAGTCGAGGTGGACCTCGACGAGCAGACGGGGAAGGCCACCGTTGTGCAGAGGAGCCTGCGGCAGCACGAAATGGTTTTCTGATTCAGCGTTTTGCCGATCGGCGCGGGCCCTCGCACTCCCCCCCATGGAGTAGATCTTGGCGGTTCGGGGCTCTTGTTCTCAAGCAGGCGGAGTCTCCCCCATAGGACGCACTGCTGCGAACAGTCTCGTTGAGCAGAGGTTCGCAGCCAGAACCCCCCCCTCTCCCCCCCTTCCGCCCGGTGCCGAAACGCCGAATGAGACAACGTGGACCACCAGGACCGGAGAGCCCAAGTGCGGGAGCGGATTCACAAGCAGTCAAGACCGTGGAATACGGGCCATTGTTGGCTCGGGAGGGGCTCTGTTTTCTGGGGCCGCTCCTTAGGTTTAGGGATTAGGGCTGAGGTCGGGGAACCTATTCGTGGCCGACGATCGCCGTGGCCAGGGGAGCCTCTTCGTTCCTCTTGTGGTGTTCCGTGGCAGCACGACGACTGCATCCAGGGGCTATGATCGTCCATGTCTTCGACGCGGTTCCCCAGCGAGTACGCGCAGCGTGCGCCCGTAGGTATGCACTATTCTTGCTTCCTCCGAAGGAGAGAGAGCTCCGTGGCGGCCTAAGCGGCACGCGGCGACGTGTTCGGTCTTCTTGCTGCAGCGCTCCTCCGACAGACGGCGCTGCCTCCGAAGTGATCCATCGGTTGTCGAGGAATTTGGTCTGCAACCTGTTCAAGCGTTGCTGCTCAGCCCCCCCCGCTTTTGCACCCTTTAGGGACGCATTGAACGCATTACTGCGATCAGCTTTATGTTTGAGCGACGGGCGTCCGCTCACCACTGCGGGCACCCGACTGCGAGCACTCGGCCACCACGGCCGGGGCTGGGACCTGGCCCGAACTGTTTAAGTCGCTATATAGGAAGGGCGCGGCGAGGCGCACTGCCCACAGGGCATGCGTTTTTGGAAGCGTCTCTCGCCGATCGTCGAGAGCCGGCTACAGAATTCAGCAGCATGAGATGGTGGCTCAGGGCGGGAGCTCGTTGCGTCCAGCGACCCTGGGAGCACCGACGCGGGCCGGGCCGTCCAGGCGCTTCCCACCACCGCTCCGGCGGGGACCGCCCGACGTGGCTGGGCAGCGCTGGCGCGCTGGGGGCGCTGTACATAGATATCGTCTCGGAGCTCGCGCTCCGCCGGCTCCTCGGGTGTTGAACAAGCCGGGTGCACGTCACATGGCGTGACTGGCGTGGGCGGATATGCACATGTGGCCGCATGCCCCTCCACCGTTTGACCCTCACGCTGACGTGCCATTTTCCGCCCGCTTGCTGGCCGTGTATCCAGCGCGGGGTCTCTCGGACACCTGACGTCGCAGTTCTGTGCGCAGCGCGGGGAACCTGGAGGGTTCGACTTCTTCGAGGGGGCTGGTCCTTCGCCCTGGCTGCCGGTTTCTGACAGCTCTGGGGCCGAAAATGTCGGCAGCAAACCAAGAGCATCCCGTCGCGCTGTGTTCGCGACCAGTGGGGCCTGTGTCCAGCCGCTCTGCCTCCCCATGTGTTCAGCTGGCGGCATCTATCCGCGGGGTGCATGCTTGCCGTGCGTCACGGTTCGCGCTTCGCTTGCTCAGCTCTTTGCCCTTTCTGGGATTCCCCAAACCAGGTGGTGAGAGGTCAGGTGGTGACCCGGAATCCCCCAAAAGTCGCCGCCGGGTTTTGGAACACGGGGTCACCGCTGGGTTTTGTGACTCTCGGACCCACCAGCGTTCGGGACATCCTTGGGAAACCACACGAGTCACCAAGCCCAGTGGTGACACCAAATCGGTCTCAAACTCACCGAGGGGGGTGTTGCCACCACGACGTCTGGCATCGCTCAGACGTGTGCATCTTTTTCTCGGCGAGGACCATCGAGGAGCATCCGTGACCATTTGGCGAAAAAAAACTCACGAAACCGACAAAAAAACACAGGGAATGGACGTCCGAGCGATGCCCAGGAAATGGGTACGGAACAAATGGGTACAATGCCCAACAGCAAATGTTGTCCCAGACCGACAGCGGCCGCTGTTGGGCAGGCGGCCTTCTGTCTCGAATGGACACAGGCCGCGGCGGCGTGGACAGCGAATCCTGTTCAAGATGAACAGGAACTGCTGTTGGGCATTGTACCCATTCGTTATGTACCCATTTCGGGCGTCCAGATCCCCTCGGCGTCGGAGGCTTGCGGGAGGGGGGGGGGTCGATGTTTGGCGGCGCTTTCGGATCGAGATTGCAAACATGCAACTCCTGGGGGGTAAAATTCTGAATTGGCGCTGGCGCATCCTTGATGATTAGACATCCGGCCTGTTCTTGCCTAGTCCCTAGTCCTGGTTGCTCTCCGCTTCATCTGGTCTGGTTTAGTATGGGACTTAATCCAGCCTCATCTGGCTTAGTTCGAAGAGCGAACAAACAAAAACATAAACACACATTTGGCGCTCCGCCCAGATCTCTTGGATCCGCGCTGAGCCCCCCAGGATCTGGATGGAGAGCGGGTACCCAGGTCCCAGGGAGAGCTTCCGAGTCTGATGCCCGCTTTCTCCGGACGCCCTTCGGTCTACGTCTTGCCAGATGCAGGGCTCGTTTCGATTCCTCCGGTTCGATTTGATTCGACTTCGATGGATTCCGATTCCGATTCCGATTCGATTTTGGATTCCGATTTGGGTTCCACTTCCTTATTGGAGGCACACTAGCCTGCCGATTTCCGCCGATTCGGCTTTTCTCGACTCGGCTGCCGATTTCCGCCGATCCGATTCATGCCGATTTCCGATCCGACTTGTCGATCCGATTACGGGCTCTCCTGCAGGTGTGCGTCCAGAGGGCCTAGACTCGAGCACGCGCACCGCGTGTTGCTGCTTACTCCCCAGGGCGCTGCAGGCAACAATGTGTACATGGTATGGTTTTGCTTCGCCTATCACTGTCTCCCCCTATCTCCTTCCTGCATCCCTGCCTCGCACTGTGCCCTTGCGTGTTCACTCGGTCCCCCGATGCCAGGCGGTCAGCAGCACGCGGGATATCCTCCCCCGTAGAAGCTCGCAACTTGTTTCAAGTGCTCTGGATTGCGTTGTCAGTTCCCATAGAATGATGGGCAAATTTCCCACCACCACTACCATATGTCGGTCAGGGGAGAAGGGAGGATGAGGAGGTCCTCCTCCTCTCCTCCTCCTCCTCCTCCTCCTCCTCCTCCTCCTCCTCCTCCTCCTTCTCCTCCTCCTCCTCCTCCTCCTCCTCCTCCTCCTCCTCCTCCTCCTCCTCCTCCTCCTCCTCCCCCCCCTCTCCTACATATGGTAGTGGTGGTGGGCAATGGGCCCATCACAGAATCGGAACTCTTCAAGCAGCGCACGGGACGCCCTACCCAGTCTTCCCAAGAGAGGCGGACCTTGCTGTGCGCAGTCAATTTTTTCAAGCAGTTTTGGAACGGCTCGCTGGAACATCGAGCGCTCGCAAACGAGGGGTCTCCTCCCTCCCCCTGGCTTCCTGCTCCTCCCTCCTTCTCCTAATCCTCCTCGTCGCTGTTCTGACCCCCGTCCTCCTCCTCTCGCTGGCGGCTAGCCGCACTCCCCGGCCGCGGGCTTCGAGGCCTGTCCGCTGGAGGGGTGAAGCCCCATCTCGATCGCGAGTTGTCTCGAGATGGGGGCATTGTCCAGGATCTGGGATTTCCAGGCCTTTTCGGTTCCGATGTCATTCGTCCTCTCGGCTCTGCTTGAGGCGCTGTCTTATGTGATTGTATGATATTCATTATTTCCCCAGTCACCCTTCCGCTCCTCCTCCTCCCCGTCGTCATGCTCCTCATTCTTCCTTACTTTCTCCATCGCCATGTTGGCATCAGATGTTTTGCTGGCTGCGCAAAGGCATACACCCCTCTGGTCCGTGGATGCGCTACAGCTTCCAATTCCTGCTCGCCACAATCGCCCTGTAGGGTCCGTAATCATGGGTCCTCGCTGCATTTGCGTGGAAGTGCGCTCTCGTCCGCGCCCTTGTCTCATCATGGCAGCAGCCACTCGCTCCGCCGCACCAGCCGACCGAGTTGAATGTGACGGTGGTGGGGAAGAGTCGACTACCGACAAAATTTCGGCCGAGTCTCGGGATCGAAGCAACTCGCGCAGCGGTGGAGAGCGACGGCCTCGACGGTGGCAGCGACAGCGACCTCACTGTGACCAGCCAGCTTCTCGCCGTGGAAATCGAGCACGACCTTCTTCGGATCATCAACGGAACCCCCTTCGAGCGGATGAAACCTTGGGAACCGCACCTACAGCGTGGAAGCGGATGTCGAGATGGAGGACGTCGTCCCGAACAATACACGTCAGGCAGAGCTGGTGGAACGTCCCCGTCCTAGCCACGGCATTCAGCGCCAACCCATCCGCCAAGATGAGTCAGCAGACCTAACCCACCACCGCCGTCCGCGGCAGCAGATGCAGAAGCAGCTCCCCCGCCCGAGCATGGGCTTCCCCGCCTCCCCGTCGCAGCAGCGCCCTTGTCGGTCCTCCAGGACACATGCCCGCGCTTCCGCAGCAAACGAGAGTCCCTGCTCCACCGCAAGCAGTAGTAGCGGCTCCTCAGCAGCCGTCACAGGATCTTGGCTGCTGCGAGGCTGCAGCAGCATCGATGCAGTCTCGGTTGTTGGGCAGCGTGGGCTCGGCCATTGTTTCGTTCTGTCAGGCGGCGGCCCGCTCAGCTGCAGCATCAGCTCATGGAGTTCAGGCTGCCTCCAGCGCGAGGCACGACGCGTTTGATTCAGAAGCTGCTGCCATGCGGCGCCGCAGCGCAGCAGCAGGACGCGAGCAAGCTCGGCATTGTTGTCGAACCATCGAGGGCACCAAACGCACGTCGACAGTTGCAGAAGTCCAGATACCCTTTCGTGTCTGGTTGTTGCCGCCGTTTTTCTCCGATTATTGGAGAGGCCTGACGGCCGGTGCCGCAGACCCTGATCGAAAGGGCTAGGAGTGGGGGGAGGAAGCGGAGGATGAGGAGGAGGAGGAGGAGAAGGAGGAGGAGCAGGAGGAGGAGGAGGAGGAGGAGGATGAGGAGGAGGAGAAGGAGGAGGAGGAGGAGGATCTGGTTGTTGCCGCCGATTTTCACCGATTATTAGGGCCCAGCATTCTCCTCAGTGTCTGCTCCCGCTGCCTGCCCAGGTTCAGTCAGCAGTTTTGCGGTTGCTTCACTGGATGCGGGGGCGGACCGCAGCATCGCCCCCCTGGTGGGGGGCGTCCCCGCTGGAGGCTTCGTCCTCTCGGGGCCCCTGCCGTCGCCGCAGCCGGGGCTGCTGCGCTCGCCAAGAGCCCCAAGCTACGTGGAGGATCGTGACCTCCTCTGCAGCCGCAGCGGCCACTGGACAGCAAGAACCTCCCGACTGGGGCGCTGATCCGAGCCCGCGGCCGATCCGACGGGAGATTTGGACGTGGAGTGCCCACGTAGTCTTGGGAGCCCAGAGCGACCAGCTCCGCTTCGGGCCGTGCCGTCCTTGCGGCGGTCGCGTCACGCTGGGCTGCACTCCCCCATCAGTCGGCGGCGAGCGAGGGGGGGAAGCGGGAAGGATGAGGTATTCTCGGAAGGTTCCGAGCCTCCCGGCCTCCTGAGCAGTTTTTGAGCCCCCCCGAAGATACAACAAGAACAACCTCTCAGGAGGCTCGCGGCCTCCTCGCTTCCCCTCCCTGCTCGCCGCCAAAGCAAGCTCGATGGCAGCACGGACCGCCGCCAACGTTGACATCCAACTGGCGTGGGACATGCTGCTCGCGGCGCATCCGGGCATCGACGCGGCAGCAGCCGGCCGCTCCTTCGCAGAGTTCCTCGCCGACGACCCTGAGGGCGTCGCGGGGGCAATGCAAGCGGGACGGGCGCTGGCCCTAATCGCGCGCCCGTGCCCATGTCCTGGCACGCCGGTGGCCTCCTCTCGGGCGACGGAATCTGTACACGTCCACTGCCACCTGGCCAGGCCCAGCCTGACTGAGCCCAGTAGCTGCGCATACGCCCTCCTGGCCACGCAGCTCCTGGTTTCAGGAAGGGCCTTGCCAGGGAGCAGTGGCCATGCACAGATGTCGCCGCCCTGCCCTCGCCGTCGGCGGCGGCCAGCGGAAAGCCGAGCTTTCCCAGTTGACGCCATGCTTCTTGCATGATGCGCACCGCCCCGGAAGATCCACGGCACCGCCCCTGGAATTCGACCACCCCTGGGCAGTGCACAAGGCGAAGCCCAGCTCTGGAGGCGCGGCCTCCTTCTCCGCCTCCGCCTCCTCCGCCGTCTCCTCCTCCTCCTCCAACTTATGGTGGTGGTGGTTGAAAGCAGGCTCATCACGGCCGCCCTTCTTCCGCAGACTGACCTCACTGGGTCACGCTGCATCTTCGGGGGGCCTCTCCTGCCCCCAACCTTGGTGCCTTTGCCTGTGCCCGACGCGGGCGCGATGCGGACTCGACGCGGACTCGGCGTGGATTCGACGCGGACTCGGCGTGGATTCGACACGGCTCCGACGAGTCCGACATGGATTCGACGCGGATCGGGCCGCGACGGGGCAGACAAGGTCCCCCGAGGATGCATCACAAGGCAAGTCCCTTCCTGCAGGCGCGGCCGCTCTGCCAAACTCACTGCGACGCTTCGGGGCGCGCCCCCGCGCAGCCTCGGCGTCGAGTGGTGCCTCGCCGCCCCCTCCGGCCTCCGCGAGCACAGCTCCCGAAGCATTGCCTGCTCTCCTCCGTCTCACTGCTTCGCCACCTCCCCCCCGCCTCCCCATGGTCGAGAGGAGGCCCTCGCCGGAGTGGTGGCGCCCAGCCCGGGGCAGCGGGTGCCAGCGCCCTTCTTCGCGGGCGACTGCCCTGAGGAGTCCGCGCCTGGCTCGAAGAGCAGGGCGCAGGCTGCCGAGACGGCTGGCCGCCGCGCGGCGTTTCAGAGCACCCCAGAGTGCGAGCGCGTCTGCTCGAGGGTGCTCTGCCCGAGAGGGGCGGGCAAGCAGGGTTCCCGCTGCGGAGGAGCCCGGGCGAGCAGCTCCGAGGACAGCGAGCCTGCTCCGCGCGCACCTCGAGTCCGTCTGCTGCCGGTGCCCGGGTGAGCACAACTCAGGGGCAACGATAGGGGGGGGTAGGCCCAGGGGGGGATGCATCGACCCCCAATCGCCCATGGATCGCCGACACGGGCCCGATAGTCCCAACCTGTCCAGTAAGGTGCGGACTCGCGACTGGAGGCCTACCGCCAATCTATCGGCGATGTATCGCCGATTCCAGGTCGATGCACGCCCCCCTGTGCCAGTCCCCACCTACCGTGGTCCTTCCAAAACGCGAACGGGAGCCTTTCCCATTGGCGCATCCTCACGACGACTTTGGCCGACCTCCAGGCCGAGGTGGCGCGCGCTACAACGACGAGGCGAGTTCCCCAGGCAGCCCTTCGGACAGGACAGCGCAAAGGGTCAGGAGGGAAAGAGACACACAGACACAATTAATCGTCGATTCTCAGGAAAATATGGGAAATGACTGGACAGCTCGCCCCTTGGCCCCCCGCCAGCCCCAAGCCAAGGGGCGAGCATATATACGGGCGCAGCACCGCGCTGGATGCGTAGCCGTCGGCTGGGCCAACCAAGCGAATGACGCATCGCGTGGCGGCTGGATGCCCGCGCCGAGCACAGCTCTTCTCGGCTCCTCCCTCCTCCTCCTCCTCCTCATCTTCCTCCTCCTCCTCCTCCTCTTCCTCCTCCTCCTCCTCCTCCTCCTCCTCCTCCTCCTCCCTTCTGCTGCCTCCTCATCCCGTCCGCGTCCTCCGCCTTCTTCCTCCTCGTCGTCCTCTCGGCTTTTTGCGCACAGGCATGATGCCCAAGATGTGGCAGGAAGTGCGATGCGTTCCCTAGTGGAAAAGCGAGCTTGAGCGCGCGTGCGGCTGCGGGCAGGCTGCGGCTGCGCGCGTGCCCTCTTGCGCAACTGGCCCCGAAATATCATCACCGTCCCTGGCGGAAAATCGCCACTGCCACCCGCGATATCCTCACCCGCTGGCTTAAGACTGCCACCGAAATATCCTCACCCGCTGGCTTAAAACTGCCACCCAAATATCCTCACCCGCTGGCTTAAAACTGCCACCCAAATATTCTCACCCGCTGGCTTAAAACTGCCACCCGCGATATCCTCACCCGCTGGCTTAAGACTGCCACCGAAATATCCTCACCCGCGGGCTTAAAACTGCCACCCAAATATCCTCACCCGCTGGCTTAAAACTGCCACCCAAATATTCTCACCCGCTGGCTTAAAACTGCCACCCGAGATATCCTCACCCGCTGGCTTAAGACTGCCACCGAAATACCCTCACCCGCTAGCTTAAAACTGCCACCCAAATTTTCTCACCCGCTGGCTTAAAACTGCCACCCGAGATATCCTCACCCGCTGGCTTAAGACTGCCACCGAAATATCCTCACCCGCTGGCTTAAAACTGCCACCCAAATTTTCTCACCCGCTGGCTTAAAACTGCCACCCGAGATATCCTCACCCGCTGGCTTAAGACTGCCACCGAAATATCCTCACCCGCTGGCTTAAGACTGCCACCGAAATATCCTCACCCCGCTGGCTTAAAAATCTGCCACCCAAATTTTCTCACCCGCTGGCTCAAAACTACTGCCACCCCGGGATATCCTCACCGATGGCTTAAGAACTGCACCCGAAATACCCGCACCCGCGGGCTTAAACAAGCCACCGAAATATCCATCAACCGCTGCTTAAAACTACTGCCACCCCAAATTTTTCCTCACCCGCTGGCTTTAAACTGCCACCCGAGATATCCTCACCCCTGGCTTAAGACTGCCCACCGAAATAATCCTCACACGCCTGCTTAAAACTGCCACCGAAATATCCTCACCTCGCTGGCTTAAAACAGCACCCAAATATTCTCCACCCGCTGGATTAAAACTGCCACCCGAGATATCCTCACCCGCTGGCTTAAGACTGCCACCGAAATATCCTCACCCGCTGGCTTAAAACTGCCACCCAAATTATCTCACCCGCTGGCTTAAAACTGCCACCCGAGATATCCTCACCCGCTGGCTTAAGACTGCCACCGAAATATCCTCACCCGCTGGCTTAAGACTGCCACCGAAATATCC